ACGTCATCATTTCGCAAATTCTATGGTCGATACGATGACCTTGTCAGCAAATACAATCTATCATCAAGTCGAATGCTAACTGGCCTTTTTTCATACCAATTGTTAGGCCATTATTTAAACACTGAATTGTCTACGGATTTTTTCGTTTGCCCTATCACGACAAAGAACACACGGCGGGTGTGACCGGTCGACAGGGATGTTTACTCTTCCATGGCACCCGATCTCATCTCTGATGTTTTTAGAGGTTCATGTTAGCTCTGCTCCCGATTTGTATTGTTTCAATGGACTTCTGAGCTTGATTACTGCTCGGTATATCCGTATTTCAATATTGCGCGTAAATACTTGTTTAAAAATAGATGCGGGCATTAATTAACTTATTGCTCTCATCAATTCGATCAATTCAATTGATGAACTCAAAAATGTGATAATATTATTGCTTGCAGAAATTTATTTAGATTTCAATATAAATGATTTGTTGATCTCTTTAATTTTGATTGAAGATTTTGTTAGGAGTATAAATTCACACATAAAAAGAGAGCAACAATTCAATTAAGGGGATCAATATTTAAGTTATAGATACATGTATGTTGAATTGAAGACTTCACTAATTAAATGGGTTGCTCTCTCTTAAAGAATAGTTGCACTTATTACAAGGTAAATGATGCCATTATTTCAATTGGAGAAAGTAATACTTCGATTATTGCACACAACTGACGTCAAAATTTCATAAATACATGTATTATGAATTTTGTCGAGGATTACGTCAGGCGATGGGCCAAAAATGAAAGAGAAGATCTTGATATTTTGTAAGAATGGATGAAATTATCAAATGGTTGTTGAAATCTCGCATTAAACGGTTGATGGATAATTTGAAATCCATCTATCCTTCTGTCTTCAGTAATTCAGAAGTGAAAAAAAAGAATTTATTTAGATAGATTACACGATCAGATATATGGTCCCAGATGACAAAGCAGGTAACAACATTGTCTTCGTCTGTAACTCTCATTATTAAAATTCTATTTTAGAGGAACTGGGATTTAATTCTGCAAGTGATTATCCAGCTCATACTGAAAATTCCTCTTCTTAGGAAAGAATTCTTCAAAATCATAAGCCAGTTTTGAATAATTTATATATTATACGTAGATTTGAACGCAATTTTCTTAAAATTCATTTTTAGAAAGGAAAGCTCGCATAAAAATTGATAACTTAGCGTCTTTACAATCCATTAAAGCTGATTTAGAAGTTAATTAGAGTTAAAGTTTATGGACAGGGTCAACTTATGGATAAAGTGAGTTTTGCTATCTATAAAATATATCTTTCTTGCACTAGTATCAGATTTATCTTGTGCTCTTAAGTTTTCCGCAGTAAAACGTATATGACAAAATTCATCAGAATTGAGGTCAATAAAAATGTTCTACTTTATCACCGTTTTGTGGCCTCCCTGTACAATTTGAATCAAAATCAATGCTGGTTAAAAAAAACAAGTATCATTACAAGTTCTTAATTGCGAAATATCGCAATTATTTAACCGTGATTTTATTTTTATATCAAATAAGGGGCCATATTTGGCCGCTACCATACATTATCTTTTTTGAGAGAACATGCAGTTATATTTGTTTGAAATTTAAAGAATAAGTAATGACTTAAAATATCGAAGTTGTGTTGCAACTGTCAGAATTGCATGGAATAGACACTTCGAACACCATATACATGGGATGCCAGCAGGGCCACATATAAATGAAAAGAATTTGATGATGCATAATGATTATATTAGTTATTTATTATTGTTTTCGCACCATCGCTTTCTGACCCTTTAATGAGTTAAATTAACAGAAGGATTTACAGAGGAGGAAATATATACCCAACTCGTGACTTTTATAACAACAACGATCTTTAAGCCAGAAAAAAGCTCGTGAGAAAAAAACCGATTTCATTTAAGTTGTGAAAATATTTATAGTGACTTAAAAATTTCTTTGACAGGTGGAACAATATTCATATTCCATATTATAGACATTTATCTGAGAAGAATATACTTAGACCCTATATAGATTTTAAATATACCCTGAGCTTTACTTACAGAACTTATTAGAGCATATGTTGACTTATGTGTTTGAATTTGTTTGTTTAGTACACAGTCATGTATTCGTTAGGCATTAGCCAACGCTACACTAATCTGTAACATAGTTTGATAATCATTAAAATAAGAACATTTTCCTTTGATCAGGGATGGATTGCATTTATTTTAATTTTAAAGTTTAAAAGTGAAGGTTTTATTTATATCTATTTGTGAAAATGCTGATATTATTTATATCAGTCTAAGAAAAAATACAGAAAAAAGATAATTTTCTGTCAAAATTAATTATTTTTGAATTAAGAACAGACAAGGATCATAAATATATATCAGTTACAGAGAGTGAAGAATACGAGTTTTGAATATATCTCGTAAATCGATGATGAACCTCTGTATATATGTAGGATTTCAAAATGAGCAAAATTATGAAACGGGGCAAAAAAGGGGGGGGGGGATTAATCGAATACGTTAAACAGGGAATAAACTAGCAGAGAGATCTTACAGACTACTTTTTTTTGTCCCCTTGTAGAAATATTTATCTGAGTTATGTGTTCACTCTCAGAATCAAATTTGACTTTTTTTTTTGGTTATAATACTACAAAAATAAGTACAGTGCATATCAACACATTTAAGATATTAAGATATTCTGAAATCATTTCGTGTACATCTGAGTTCCAAAAGCTATAAGTATTAGTATTTACTCTGAAAATTGTGTGAATTTCATTAAAAAATAAAGTTATAAAATATTTTCTATGTAACTCAAATTAACAGTGTTTCTTTATAATTACGAGATTTAAATTAAAAAAAAAACAAATCTCAGAGGAAAAAAGGTATTAATCTAAAGCAATATTTTCTTCAAGAAAACTTCATGTCTACATTATTAAGAAGTAAAAATATCAATATTATTTCTTATGAATTTTTTTTTTTCGTTATACAAAGCCCAGATCCCACTGCTTAGATCTATGTACCAGCACTTGCTTCTTTATCAATCATGTTAGATGATGTCAACGCTCAGTTTTAAGGACAAAAACCTTTGTTATTTGACATTAAAAACGGGCTTTCAACACTTATTATGTATGTAAGTTCTTATATTTGTAGTACTTCCTTTATCTACACGAAAATGACAACACTAAGTTTCTCACAGACAATGCATGTTCGCCCGAATCAAAAACTTTTCTTTCAGTCAGCAGTCTTAAAATCCGATAAAAACTCGTGAGAAAAGAAGCTTTCCAGTAAGTCTTGAAAATATTAACACTGACGAAGAAAAGGGTTTCCAAATGTCTCTTTAGCAGGTGGAATAATGTTTACCAGTCTTATTGTCGACATTTAACGAAGTAGAATGGATTTTATTCCAATAGTGACGCTGAACGGTTGAACACAAAAAGATACTATTTAGCTTAAAGCTGTCACTATGCACGAATGTAGACGTACATTATTAAATGGTTTATTTAATTTATTAATCAACCTGTTGGCGACTCTATACTAATATTAATTTTTATCCGATCTTCCTTTGATGAACAAACATTTACATCTCACATGGAAAACATGTTCAGAGTTAAGATTTACTCTCATAATAGTTTTCCAAACATTTATTTGTTCTCCCTGTTATACATCTCTGTCTTTGAAAATTTTGTCATTTCTCTCTTATTAACTTTCTACTTATTTCAAAATCGATTTATTTTCCATTGTCGTCGGAATTTTTCTAAGCATTTGTATAAATAATAAAATCTTAAGTTACCCTATTAAGACACTAAAGACTATCAATCCTGGGCAATTCAATAATAACAGCAATTTATTTAGATTTTTTAATCAGTAAAAATATCCAGCATTATACATAAATGATCATTCTATCTTTAAAAAAAAACGAGTTTTTCTGAGGTTTAAATAGCTTTCAAACTGATTCTAATCATTTTTCTCAAAATCATTCTCTGATACAGATTATAAGGAAACTGAATGTCACAAAAACAGTTTCAAAAAATGTCATTGACATTTTTTATTTTTCTGTATATGAAACAAAATATAGAAATTCATTTTTTATTTGAAAGTGACGAATTATTTCGCAAAGATAAAGGGGATGAAAACTGTTTGCTTAAAGGAGCAAAATCGGAGTATACTTATACATACAACGAAACAACCAGGAACCTATAATTGAAAATGTAGGTTAGTGTAAGTACATGCTATGAAAAGAAAACATATCTTTGTGTCATTTTTTTTCTATTAGAAAAGAAAATTCAAAGAGAAAGAAAAGGCAAATTCATAACATATTTATAAAAACATGAATAAATATTTATAAACACATGAATAATTTATATTACATGTTCGACTTTAAATGCTACATTTTTTTTTACTCCTTCCACTGGATCCAAAACCAAGGTAATGTTTACAATATTTGATGATAAATATGTAAACATTAAAAAAAAATTTCCATTAGGTAGATTACAAGGTCAAAATCATTCTTCACTGTTCCATTATTTAAATCTTTCATTTTCTAATTACTTACTAAATCGATATATATGAAGAATTCCTCCTCTTTAATATCTTTTTATGAGGACAAATTATTAAATTCAAATCGAAATCAGAAGTTATAATTTCACCCCGTAATTTTTCGTTCATGTAGCTTAAAAAGGTAATTTAACCATCTCTTAATAAACAAATGAGAAAAAATAATATGACCTCTTCAATAAGCTTTATTCTGGTGAACATTCTAAGAGTTCGTGATGAGAAGACATAGACTGAAATAAACTTATATCCTTTTCGCAAGATTTTAACAAAGCTCAACAAAAATAATATTGTAAATATCGACTCTAAACTGATTCCGATTCAATGGAGGGCACCGTAAGGCGATTTGAGTCGGTCAGGAATTGGGGTACCGTATAAGGTATATAAGGGGAGAGCGGTTAAGGCTGGGAGAGAGAGAAGAACCGAGAAGATGAAGGTTGCACTTCTAGGCGTCGCCCTCCTCTGTGGGTTCCTGCTTGTGCAGGCTCGTCCTCCAAAGGTAAGCATGTAATTAAAAATTCTAATTAATTATTAATCAGTACTTTAATGCCTAAAAGAATATTTTCATCAATTCGAAAGGCAAATTCAAATGTAGGAAATAGTCTTTGTTCAAACTTTTGAAATATGATATATCCTGAGAAGAATCTTTTAAGTATTCTTTCAAATGTTTTAAAATAAAAGAATGTTGAATTCACGGACACTATTTGATTTTTGCATGCGTAATCATCAATTCAATTCCTTGTTAGTTACTCCTTATATCAAAATTAAGGTATTCTTTATTAATAGTTCTTAATTAAATGAATTTTATTCTATGTTCTTAATTAAATATATTCAATTAAATAGCTAAAAAAAAACGAAAACAAAACAACAAAAAACAAAACAAAACAGAACGAAAACAAGACAAAAAAAAAAAAAAAAAGAAGAAGAAAACTTTGGTAATGAATAAACACAATTCAAATTTATTTTAAGAGACCATATAAGTGTTCCAAAATGAGAATTGAAATAATTTTTGTTTAGACTATTCAGATTTTCCAGAACCGACCGTTACCTTGTCTGAGATATTTAGAACAATTAATTCTTTGACGTAGTTAAATTATCGACTTTGATAATGTCTGTTGCAAATGTTTTAACCAATATCTTTTCCTATATAACTCTTGCATAATTAAAATAATTTGTAAATAACTCGTTTTTTTCTTGTACGATTTTTTTGTTTTAATAAGTGTATTTTTAAATTCATTTCTGAACAGGGAAAGAAAGGGGGCGAAAGAGGTAAGATATTTATGTTTTATATATAATCATAGCATAGTAAAATAAATTCAATGCTAATAAATTGACATGTGTTAAACTCTTTTAATATAAGTGTAGAATTGAAATTGTTTTCTTGTTTTGTGTAGATCGGCCTCTGCTCGACGAAATTCAATTTTTTTCTTAAATGACAATAATTTGTTAACAGAAAATGCAAATAAATATGTACGTCGAGGAAATTCATTATAAAATAGGCCAAAATTTAAAATAAACCGTTGTTAATGATAAAAAAAAATACGAAGGAAACATTGTGATTTACAACTTTTATAACTTTCTCTCTTAGCACAGGGTTACTCCGCTTCACGAGTTTTAATTTTTCCTCTATTATTTCAGATGATTTGGAAATTGATCTTCTTGAGCGTATGTTGGATGAAATAGAAGGTGAGGCTTGCTTTTAAATTTTATTATTTCCCTTTTATATATTTTTAATTCAATCACCTTGAACTTGTAATCACTCCTTACGATCTCAGATAAACGTCAGGCTCTTCATTTAAAGGTGGTGATAAGAAACAACTGAAAGGTGATAATGATAAGGAAGGAAAACAAAAACGACCTCCGCCAAGACGTGACGATGGAGACGACAAGGATGGTGATCGCAAAAGACCACCACCTCGACGGAACGGAGATGATGAGGATGATGATAAAAAGGGTGGCAAACGACGACCACCACCCCGACGTGATGGCGGAGATGATGAGGACAGTGACCGCAAACGACCCCCCAAAAAGGAAGAGCGCGAAAACGAAGAGGGTGGACGCCGACGAAGACCTCCTCCAAGAGATGAACGAGAGAATGAGGAAAAGGGTGATCGTCGCAAAAAACCCCGAGGAGATGGCAAAGATGATGACGATGATGATAAAAAGGATGGCAAACGACGACCACCACCCCGACGTGATGGCGGAGATGATGAGGACAGTGACCGCAAACGACCCCCCAAAAAGGAAGAGCGCGAAAACGAAGAGGGTGGACGCCGACGAAGGCCTCCTCCAAGAGATGAACGAGAGAATGAGGAAAAGGGTGATCGACGCAAAAAACCCCGAGGAGATGGCAAAGATGATGACGATGATGATAAAAGGGGTGGCAAACGACGACCACCACCCCGACGTGATGGCGGAGATGATGAGGACAGTGACCGCAAACGACCCCCCAAAAAGGAAGAGCGTGAAAACGAAGAGGGTGGACGCCGACGAAGGCCTCCTCCAAGAGATGAACGAGAGAATGAGGAAAAGGGTGATCGTCGCAAAAAACCCCGAGGAGATGGCAAAGATGATGACGATGATGATAAAAAGGGTGGCAAACGACGACCACCACCCCGACGTGATGGCGGAGATGATGAGGACAGTGACCGCAAACGACCCCCCAAAAAGGAAGAGCGTGAAAACGAAGAGGGTGGACGCCGACGAAGACCTCCTCCAAGAGATGAACGAGAGAATGAGGAAAAGGGTGATCGTCGCAAAAAACCCCGAGGAGATGGCAAAGATGATGACGATGATGATAAAAAGGGTGGCAAACGACGACCACCACCCCGACGTGATGGCGGAGATGATGAGGACAGTGACCGCAAACGACCCCCCAAAAAGGAAGAGCGCGAAAACGAAGAGGGTGGACGCCGACGAAGACCTCCTCCAAGAGATGAACGAGAGAATGAGGAAAAGGGTGATCGTCGCAAAAAACCCCGAGGAGATGGCAAAGATGATGACGATGATGATAAAAAGGGTGGCAAACGACGACCACCACCCCGACGTGATGGCGGAGATGATGAGGACAGTGACCGCAAACGACCCCCAAAAAAGGAAGAGCGCGTAAACGAAGAGGGTGGACGCCGACGAAGACCTCCTCCAAGAGATGAACGAGAGAATGAGGAAAAGGGTGATCGTCGCAAAAAACCCCGAGGAGATGGCAAAGATGATGATGATGATGATGATGATAAAAAGGGTGGCCGACGAAGACCACCACCCCGACGTGATGGCGGAGATGATGAGGACAGTGACCGCAAACGACCCCCCAAAAAGGAAGAACGTGAAAATGAAGAGGGTGGACGCCGACGAAGACCTCCTCCAAGAGATGAAAGAGAAAATGAAGAAAAGGGTGATCGATGCAGAAAACCTCCAAAACGTGATGACGGAGATGATGAAAAAGGTGGCAAACGAAGACGGCCATCAAAGGAGGATCGCGATTAACGAAAAGAATAGACATTAATCAGGATGATCACGAGAACGCAGATGTTGTTTTTACTAAGTGATTAAGTGTATTGGAAAACGGACGCTTGCCCAATGGATATGAACTATATTTATTCAAATGATTGTTATTTCTTTTTAATAAATGTTGCATGAATTAGTTTATCGTTATTTGGAAGTTAAGAATACATGAAATAATTGATTTACTGGAACTGCTTAGCAATTGGCAACAAAACAATTGCTTACATTTTTTATTTTATTTTATTTTTTTTTTTTTTTTTTTTTTTTTTTTTTTTTTTTTTTTTACAATTTTCGAACACAAACAAATGGGCAACTGTGCTATGTGCAAGCCAAAATTTAAAGATCGAATTTTATTTTAGCATTATAAAACCAAGTCATGAACAGTAGTATGTCATATGCCTTGGGCTGTGAATGATCAACCAGCAATAAATTTATTTATATACTGTAGTGCTTTGCAGTATGTTAAGCTCCATGCATCATCTAATGAATTAAAAATGTACTTGTTTTTCAAAATAACATAAAAAGTAAAGATCAATTTAATCTTACAATTTTCATCAAAATATGGACATATTGAGATCAGGATGATGATATTACCATGTAAGATGTATATATTGTTATAAGAGGCAAAATCGTTACAACCTCATCTGAGGCACATTTTAATTTCTGACAAAAGCCGTTAACAAGATTCTGAAATAAAATCCTGACCATTCAGTGTTTGAAGTATACTGATGCTAGATATCAAGTTAAACAAATAAAGGAATCGTTAATATCGAGGCATTGTTTATGTTGCTTCCTACATTTATACTTCTATTGGCTACGGAAATAAATGAAAATAACACTACTTGATGATACATGCATGTTTTCTCATCGATATTATGAAAAATAGAAGCTTTCTTGTTCATTTAAAAATATTTCTAAAACTCTGTGATGTTTGATGTTTTGACATTAATGCCGATGATGGCTGCCGCCTAATATGATGTAAAAATGTTTATCATACGAGTAGAGGATTGTTCTTTAAATACAGTTGCTTAACCCTGGCTATTCAAGATTCTCACATTCCTTTAAAAAATCTCACACCTAAGGTCTTTCCTTCTACGTTTATGGGCTTGGGAATAAATACATATTTGACAAATGGCAGCTGCTGAGCTCCTAGCTTCAACCCCGCCCCCCTCCTTCCAACCGCCAGCTTATTCCTTTGATCATCTTGGAACTAGTCTTTGACATAATCCTAACCATTAGTTGCACAAACTCTAAAATACACAAAACGAAGAATCTTACAATTATCTTATCATTATCGATTCAACTGTTGAGGAGAAGATTTAAAAGGACATAACTTTTCCTTTTATTCATCGATTTTATTTTCATTGAAAAAAAAATCTGTTGTTCTGAAAAAATTTGAATCTTCTTCCCTAAACGATGCTCTAGACAGTTATGATTAAAACTAGCTTATGGATTCAGTTTAAAGTCGAAAATATGAAAATTAACAGTCGACAGGCAGATTGATTGATACCTGTGTATTTCAACAATTTAACCGTCTAGAGCATATGTGCATCCATCTAAATAAGTAAATTAAAAAATGTTACAGCCCTACATATATCATAAAATCAACAAGACCTTAAACTCGCCGCCACTTCCATCTATTGATCTGGGCTTAAGATGCCTAAAGGTAAAAACTACGCTTGCTTCAAAACTATGATATATATTTCCTAAAGAGTTTAAATTCTTAGATGATCAGTTATTTTGCTTAGAAATATATCTAGCGTGTATATAAGTCAAATTCTGAATACTCCCGGCCAAGATAAAACAGACCAAAATCGCAGGAATTACAAGGCTTGTTGGACTTCAACATTTTTTCCTTTGATTTACTGATCTACATGTAGATGGGGAGCGACTTTGATCTAGAACTGTAATCTAAAGCATTCCGGAAAAAAATTATCTGAAACGGGGTCTATTCTAGTAGTATTGCTGGAATCTTTTTATGAAAGTAAACGGACTGTACGGACTGCATGCTTATTCTGCATTGTATAACACAACACACACTCGAAAATGAATGAAATTTTAATTCCATTTGATCCATTTTGATTTCAAACATAGGATGATTACTCAGTATAAGTAATTTGTATCACCCACGACATATAACGCTTAGTTTCTTGATAGGTTTCTCAAGAAAAACTGCACATCAAGAAACATGCAAATAATAATGCTACATGTACAAATAATACACCAAATAAAACAAAATATGTCTTACAAGGTTGAGCCGGTGAATTTTATATGGTGATAACAGTGTAAAGCTATCAATGGCATAAAAAGAATTTGTCATTCAATACTGCCACTCGCAATAAATTATTTTTAGAAAATAACACGATGGAAACTTTGTTTATAAAATGGATTAATTCACACTATGAGAAAATCAGAAATTAACTTATTAACAGGGACTGTGTTCTTAGAAATTCTAGTTATGATTAATGTGTAGTATTTACTGAAAAATGTGAAGATAACGAGTGATCAATCACAAAAAATATACAAACAATACCAATCTGTGAACAGAGCATAAAACACAGACTCTTGGGAATTTCAGAGGTGAGATCAGGTGCCTTGGAGGAGTAAGAATCCTCTGTTTAACGGTCACATCCGCCTTGAGCCGTATATATTGATCAGGTAGAGGGAATATTACGTAGTCAAATTTAGTACAAAAACAAAGGCCGAACAATTGGTATGAAACAAGTCAGCTATAAGATACGATCCAATAATAGGTTATTTATGAAAACAAGTTCATTAGAACGACCATAGAGTTACAAAATGCTGACTTTAAACGGGGTTGTTGAAATCCCTGTAACATCAATTTATCTGTCAGTAGCCTGCCTAGATTTAAAAATTGATCGTACTCAAAGCATGCTCTGAATTTAGTGATCAATCAAAAAAACGTGTAAGTTGGTAGATAAAAACACCATATGCAGATGATAGCGGAATATTACAACATTTATAAGGAAGGTTGACTATGGAAAAGCTGAAGTCTCGCTATATCTGAATGTCGAGTTGAAGGCCACAGCAAATGTTTTCTTCTTCTCAAGTCAAAGTTTTTGAATACATTCTGCTTCATGGAAATATAAAAATTGGTCAGTTAATAAAGGAGCACAATTAGTGCCCATCGTATTTCCATCAGTTTGTTGGAAGGCCTGGTTTCCAAAAACTACAACAATGTTGTCACTAAGAAACTCCTTTTACTATCAACTTCAGAGTACTTCGTTTAGAATCAGAGTAATTTTTAACAAAGTAATTTTGATGATGACCAATCACAAGATACGAAAATTTTCGAGTTCCATCTTTATTGAAAAAAAACACACAGTTGTTTTTAATACCAGAAAGCCCTTCTATTTAATTTATCATGAGGAATCGTTGTATAAAGTGTAGAAAAGTGTACGTATTGATTTTATTGACTTAAGAAAAATTTGTTGTTTTTAAATTAAAAGCTGTTTGGTATTTTTGATTTATGATTAACACCACTTCTTAAATATGCTGAAGCACAGTAGGTCTAGACTTTCTTTTTTACAGCAGTTAATATTTTTGAGGAGTAAAGATAGGGGTTAGTTGAGCATTTGCTGGACAAGGCAATGTATTTTTGTAAGACTTTTTATGAATTTTAGGAATCCAATATAGGTAGGGTAGATCGAACTCACCTTGGTTGACTGGTATATTAGAATGTTAAAAGTTTTGAACACTGAAACGTGATTTTGAAGAATTGCATCCTTAGAAAGTAAATTGTGATTATATGTTGGATTTCCAGACGTAGAATTAAAACCAAGTTCTTCTAAAATGACGATATTCTTATTACAAGCCTTGTCAGCTGGAACCATAACATATTGTTCATGTAGTTTTTCAAATTCTTTTATCACCTGCGATTGTGTGAAAATGGAAGGATGGATGGTTCGCATATTGCCTCTTAACTTTCTAATACGGTTCTTTAATATACTAAGTATTTCTAAAACACTTAATCAGTGGCCATGGGGAATCCACGCTAGATTCTTTTTTCACTTGGTTCAATTAATGACTTTATATACATCCACGATTTCTTGCAAAACAAATTGAGAGGAAAGAAATCTGGAAAGAGAGACAAACTGACTTTTAAAAGAGAACAAGAAATGTCTCTTGCCAATTAACTATCCTAGTGGAATCAATAAACTATCCTAATGGAAGCATTTAACTTTCTTAGTAAAAGTATATAACTATCCCAGTGGAAGTAACATAAAAGATTTTAAAAGCAGTTTAATTTATTTCAGGTATACACTAATCTTGTTTAAAAAATAGCAGATATTTCACACCGAACATTTCCCTCATATATTAAACATAATAATAAAAAATATTTATATACAAATATAAAAGTCATGATATTTAGGAAAATACTTTCCATATTCACACATGTAGATGGCTGATGATGTGATGCTCACATATTAATTCCCAACTCCATGTTTTAGAAATTATGATAAATTTTGTAAATGAAAAACACAATTTGTAATTTTAAATGAGATTGGATGGCAACTTTGGTAGGATTATCGTGGTCGGGACATACTGCTGGTTTTACGTCTTTTGGCAACAGATGGCGCTTCAGCAGAGAAACTTGATGTAGGGGAGAAAACCCTTGTTTCGATATCCTGCTGAGCATGGTAATTATCCATAAAAGGCTTTACTTTCCTCCAAACCTTAAAAACCAAAGAGTAAACAGTTTGGTTATACTTTGTCCTTTCGTTTATTGTTTGCGTTAATAGGCGTATTTCTTCCAAAGAGGTAGATGAATGATGTTTTTTTTTCGTACAGTGTTTAGTGAATTAGGTTTTGTGTTTAACTTACAGTCTCTTCTTGCAGCAGTTTTGTGACAGCATCTATATCTGGAGCCATGAATCTGTCTTTTTTCCATGGACTAAAACGTTAAAAATATACTCGTATATCGAAGGTATATTATATACTAGTAATTCAGATAGATAGAATTTATCTATTAATTTTCATTTTTAAAAAGCTGCATTCATTTAAAAAATTCCTTCAAAAGAATAAATACCCTGCTAACTTTCTGACAAGTTTATACACTTCTTCTAGCGGGGGTGTTGTTGTCAATGGTCTCAAAAACTCAATGGCTTGACAAGCAGCAAGAAGCTCTATGGCCAACACTGCAAAAATATTACTGTCTCATGTTAAGAAATTTAGCTTGCAAGGATTTTTATTTAACTTTATCTTTGCTTTTTGTTTTGTTTAGTATTTTTTTGTTTTGGTCTGCTTGCTAAATATTTTTGAATGACAGATCAGTGTAATGAAAAAAAAAACCAGACCGAGTTTTGTTTTGTGTGTGTGTGGTTTTTTTTTTTTATGGTAAATGATAAAGAAAATAAAGAAATGGGTAAATGAAATTTATATAATATGCATGGAAATTGTTCGGAATGAAAAAAATGTACATTTTCGATAAAGAGAAATAGGCGCAAATAGAATTTTCAACCCCTGAACCATATTTTAACTTGCAACTCATGGTAAAAAAATAAACGCACCACATCACAGTCATATTGGTAAAACACAAAGGTAAGAATAGAGACTTTTCTGGATATCATACACTTACTGAAACACACTGCACTGCAAATACTTTTTTGGTCGAAAGAAAGATAGAATAATTAGTTATCATCTTACCTTGCTCCACGTGTTCTACAACACGAAGACATTTCCTGGCGGCAAATCCGCCCATAGACACGTGATCCTCAGTTCCCGCGCTCGTCGTTAAAGAGTCGATCGAGGCCGGGTGACACAACACTTTATTTTCAGACACTGCAAAAAAGACAAAGTATAAAAAGAAAACAATTCATCGATGAAATTCTATCCTCATTTAACTTTAAGAAGATGACAGAGAAGTTCTTGATAGTGTCTTTACCTAATGCGGCTGCTGTACAGTGTGCAATCATAAATCCAGAATTCAAACCTCCGTCCGGGGTCAGAAAGGCATCCAACTCACTGTAGGCTGAAAATTACCCAAGTGTGTTTCCTTAAACTCTTTCAATTCAAGGGCTTTATAAACTTGAAATTTTGACTATATTCCGTATCAAATCAGTTAATAGGTAGACGAAACTGAACGTGGATTAGATCATACAATATTTAAAAACATAAAACAAGAGTACCCGGATTGACAAGCCTCTCTATCCTTCTCTCGCTCATATTTGCGATTTCATGTACTCCAATAGCCAGGTAGTCTAGAGCCTTTAGTAAAATGCAAACGTTGCAATACAAAGATGATATGTGTTGATTCAAATTAGAGATAAGTTTGTTTCGAAGAAATGTATAAAGTTTGAATTAAGGGTGTTCTGTGTGAGACTGGTTTGTTTACATTTTACTGCTTCGTTCATACCATTGAAGATTCAAATGCTTGCAATTTACAGAACACCGTTACATTTATACATCTTTTATTTAATTTTAATGCAAGTAAGAATTAAATTTTGAAATTTATGCCCCTGTCCCTAGGAGACAAATTAAAGAAAAACTACGATAAAAGCAATGATTTTTACAGGAAAAGATTTTGTCTTTGGCGTCAAAAAGAGGCATTTTGACAATAATTACACAGCATAATTCTTTGTGCATGAGTATTTAATAAAGCCGTGTAGAAAATGAGTCTTAACGTCTATTTACCTTAGCGGGATATTCGCCGTGAAAATTTCCACCAGATATGATTTCTCCTGTTTCTGCAAATACCATCTAATGCAAGTTAGAGCTAACAAGTTTGTATTGTTTACGATTATTAAAAAAAAAATCTGAAACGTCTATTAAAACTGAAAAGAAATGAACTTTGAAGTAGAATTTCCATATAAATTCCAAATTATAACTGTACTTAATCTGAAGGACATGATAGGATTCTACTTAAACAGGTCACTTGATAGACTTGATAGTGTGTAAAAGGATACAGGGTTGTCAGTGGCACTATTGACTTCCACCGAAAGTATGCTTCTGACAAAGGCCAGTGTGTCATTTACTACTCCGTGTACCTATCAGTAACAATACTTATACTTAGTAATAATACATGTATGAACCCGAGACATATGTACCTATCAATAACTATAAATAAACCAATAAGGACTGGTGACAAACATAACCATCTATTGTAATAATTTACAAATACATGTTTGTACCTGAAAAATATGAACCTATCAATAACAATAAATATACATAAGAAATTTGTACATGTACTTATCATAACAATAAGCATACATGTGACAGGTAAGATGATTACCTATAAACAATAGATTATAATTTAATACCAACCTGTGGGCAACATCGCAATGTGTAGGCATCTTGAACTCGGTTACAAAAGCGATGGCTCTCTGTGGACATAACAAGAGAAACGATTAAAATCAAATGGGTTTTCTCAGTTTTAAAACAAACACAATTCGATTAAGGAAGAAGCATTAAACTATTGAAATTCATGGAAATAACACCAAATAAAAGGTGGTGATAACGAACAGTAAACTAAATGAATCGTTAAAAGGGAAAAAAACACAGACCCTTGGAAACACAGAGGTGGAATCAGGTGCCTAGGAGGAGTAAGCATCCCCTATCGACCGGTCACACCCGTCGAGTGCCCTATGTTTGATTCGGTAGACCGTGTACTCCATAGTCAAATTCAATACAAAAGCAATGACATAACAAATGGTATGAAACATGTCAAACAAAATACGACCAAACAATAGTTTGTATTTACAAATAAGGTCATTATAACTACCGTAAAATTTGCAAAAATCTGACTGCAAATGGGGTTCCTGATATCCTTGTTACATCAACTTATTTATTAGTAGCTTGCCTCGGTTTAAAAATGCATGCTCTTGCTTATCGAATAAGTTTGAAGACATAAACACCATAAACAGGTGATATTGGAGTATCGCTACATAAATAAGGAAAACTGACGATAGAAAGCTTAAGTCAACCCGTTTGTCATACAGTTTACTTATTAGTTGGCCATTATCTTTTATAGTTAGTAAATCATCCAAATATGAAACAGATGTGACAGACTCTGTAGTGTCTTTTATTTCGAGTTCACTGGGATGTATCGAGTCGACATATGAATGAAAGTAACTATTGACAATATATATTGTCGATATATCTAAATATTGATTTGAAGGCCACACTTTCTCTTGAAAAGGTTTTGAATAAATCCTGCTTCATATGACTATAAATCAGGTCGGCTAATAAAGGTGCATAAAATTCTCTATTCAAGAAGCATCGTACACAAATAAGAGCAAAAAAAAAAAAAAAAAAAAAAAAATACCAATCAAGGAAATGCCATTCACAAAGCATATTAAGATAGATCATAGACCTAAAGCAGTAAGAATGTTAAAAAATAATAAATGTATCATGTTGTAATGCATACGGTATAAAATACTACGCCATTTCCATCTAATACATGCATCGCCCTAGTAACAATTGTGTGACACTTTTCCCGCTTTCATTGTGGGGATGGGCATAGCATTCGTAATCCTCTTCTTTCTTCTCTTTTTGACCTTTTCTCTCTTTTTTCTCATGAACTCCTCTCTCTTTTTCGTCCCTCTTTCTACCTCCTCTTGTTCATCCTCTAATCTTCTCCATGCATTTCCTATCTACCCTCCACCATTTGTAAAATTTCTCTACCTGCTATTCCGGACGGATGTGTGTCAGAATGAAGGAGAGAGCGAAGGCGCCTGGCCACCAACTTCTGTCCTTTATGTGGTCGAACGTCATGGATATCTGAAAATATATACAGACAGATTAATAATTGACATTTTATCGCAATTGAAAAAGAGAGGTTAAATAACTCTCTTTATCCTGCCTCTGATAAAAATCTTGAAATTTCACTGATCGAAAAGAATTTTGTATAAAGCCATTTGAAGTCGCATACTGACCTGATATAGTTCATATAGCCCGTCAATTTGAGCTTAATGACTAAATATCAAAGTCATGTCCCCTTACACGAAACCCATTGACCAGATATCAATTCCATACACTTTTTTCAATTGACCTATCAAGGAACCTAATAACTGACATCACATGAGCTTCAGATGACGTTACAATGTGAACAATAGCTGCAGAAGCGTTTGCAAAATGAGAAAATGAACTTTGTTGAAAAATCATCGAAACAATAAATTTGTAACGTAGACACTAAGAGAGCCAATATGGAAATATATTGGGTCCTCGAAAAGATGTATACGCCTCGCCAAATACAAAATTTTTCCAAGGACCCCACAAATTTCCGTCTTACCCTTCCAAGTGTCCACAAAACTAATAATGTCTAGAACAGTCTTATCAAATCAGGTAATCCTGATCAAGGGTGGCACACAAGAAGTTTACTTTTTTTCTAAAATATATCTTGAATGATTCCCCTTATTATATCGATATTTTCATATGAATGGGGAAATAGTTCGAAAAAAGTATTGGTGATTGGATATTAACAAGGAATGAAATAAATATTGCAAATTGGCCAACATATTTTGAGTAACTGCATTTTCTCCGTTAAGTACTAACTGCTATCAAATGCTCTTGTAGTTCCTTTCAGAACGTCCAAAGTAAAAGCAGCTACAATGTCTGCTTGTCTCACTATTGCCTCTGCCCGCTCAAGTCCTGTATTGAGAAAGTAATTTTTACAACTACCTAATTCATCAATCAGTGTATACACATGTAACTGTTGTTAAGATTGTAAATGTATGATGAATAATAAAAATTCAACAACAATCGATTTTCTTTTAACATCATAGTGTGAGGGTTCCCACCTTCAACACCGAGTGCAGTGATCAGCTGAGTTCCGTTAATTAAAGCTATGCCTTCTTTGGGTCCAAGTTTTATAGGTGTCAATTTGTTTGATTCTAAAACCTAAATCAAAGTGGACATGGTCATGATAAGCAAAATCATTGTCCTATATAAAATGGATTTTAAAAATTGATTTTTTTCTTTGTGAAATTACATATTTAGCGTCTGCCCAGCCACTTTGAGGGCTCCACATTTTTCCTTCTCCCATCATCCCTAGCGCTAGATGTGATAATGGCGCCAAATCGCCACTGGCACCAACAGTCCCCTTCTCTGGCACCCATGGCAAACAGTTAGCTGCATAAAATTGCAATGTTCACAAGTAGGTATAAAAAAAAATTGTAATCAAAATTAAAAAATATGTACATGTATATAGGACAACAACGGAAAGACGCTAAGATTTGGACCTGTAGTTTACAATGCATTTTACTAATGAATCTTAGATTAAGTATCTATTTCCATGACTTTGGATAGAAAGATTTGTTAAAGTAGCAAGTGGTCTTCAGGTTATTCATCCCTCTGTTCAATCATGTTCCTTTACTGACATTGATTTTACAAAAGAAATATTCATCATAATTGACAGACGTCTTAATTTAAGCAGCAAATGCACTGCATTCAAGTAATCGGTCCTGCTCATTGTTATAAAAGATAAATGTACATTATGTAGGTTTAAGCAGAGGAAGGTTTAAAGATGGATATTGAGGGATTTTGTTGTAAAAGTACAGGAAGAGTTTATGGGAGGAAAGAGTTACTGTAATGACTTTTCGACCTTGTATTTCTGTGACATTTTGTGTTCGCCTTCCTCATTCATGAAGCAGTTCATGGAATAAATGAAATAGGTTAAGATAACGAACAGTGATCGATCTCAAAAAAACCCGACAAAATACAAATCTGTGAACATGGCATAAAACTAGGAGCCATGGAAATTCCAAGGGTGGAATCAGGTGCCTAGGAGTAAGCATTCCACTCGACCAGTCACACCTGCTTTAATTTGAGCCCTATGTTTTGATCAGGTAAAAGGAGCACTCCTAGTCACATTTAGTATAAAAACAAAGGCCTAACAATTACTATAAAACACGTCAGTCAAAATACGACCCAATGATAGGTTGTATTTACTAATAAGGCCATTATAAGGACCATAGAATTTACGAAATGCTGACTATAAACGATGTTGTTGAAATTCTTGTAACATCAATTTATTTTTCAGTATCTTGCTTCGGTTTTAAAAATTGATCGTGCTTAGAGCATGCTCTCGAGTATCGAATAAGTTGGGAGACATAACAGCATTTACATGTGGTAGTGGAAATAAGGAAAGTTGACGATGGAAAAACTGAAGTCATCTCGTTTGAAAAACAGTTCAGTTGTTAGTTGGCCCTTATCGTCTATATTCAGTAAAACATCCAAATATGAAACAGATAAGGCAGACTCTGTGGTGTTTTTATTTCGAGTTCACTGGGATGTATCGAGTCCACATATGAAAGGAGAGGGCTAAAATAGGCTACGTCTGCAGCCTAATCCCATTCACTTCATGTGAATAAAATTATGTATAAATAAAAAAAAAATATGAATGGATGTAACTACTGTTAACTGATAAAACGTCGCCGATATATTTGATGACCACAACAAATGTTTTCTTCTTACGTAGAAGTTTTTAAATAAATTATGCTTCTAAGGAATATAAAACAGGTCAGCTATTGCATGAGCACATTAAGTGCCCATCAGAATTACATGAGTTGTTGGAAGACCAGGTCTCCAAAGTCTACATAGATATCAACACCAGCATCCTTTTCATATCAACCTAAGAGTACTTATGTGTAGAATCAGAGTGATTCTTACAGAGTAATTTTGTAGATAACCGTTCACAAGGTGTGAAAATTTTCGAGTTCTACTTTTATTGAAGAATCATTTGTTTATGATATCAAAAAGCCTCGTTTTTATTTATCTTGAGGAATGGTTGTATAAACTGTTGAAAAACTATACATTTTGATATCACTGACTTTTGGCAAGTTTTGTGATTTTCAATTTTCTGTAAGTTCCTAAAAGTTTTTGAGAATCCACAATTGTTTCACTCCACTTCTTGAATATGCTGTAACATGGTATGTCTGAAATTTCTCCGTTACAGCAGTTAATATTTTTGTGAGTAAAGATAGGGGCTTGGAGGAGTAGTTGCTGGACCCGGCCATCAATGTATATTTTGTTTATAAGGATTTTTAAGAAGTTTAGAAATCCAGTATAGATTGGATATATATTTATTTAATTTACCTCTTGGTCTAGCCGAATTAACTTACAATACTTGATCCTTACATTGCATATATCGAAAGCATACCATTAAATGCTGCAATATACTGCTTCAGAGTTTCCATGGATATTCCACTGTAGCCTTTTGCCAGAACATTAATTCGTAATGCCAGCAACATGCGAGTCCGTTCAGGTGACAACGGTGGACCAACGCCTTGAAGTATTTAAGATAGATTTTATAGGATTTAGTATATCACTGCACATAAGTAATCTACTTATCAATTGATGATGATGATGGTCTATATCGCTTTAATTACCTGCTGCATGAGAACGAATCACATTTTCTTGAAGTTCACTAGAAAGATAGAGCATCAACACAAGTCAGTATTGATACAAACAAGTGAAATGTTTGGAAATACAGGTAAAAAAATCTACTTACCTTTTCAGAGCTAATCAAAAACTGACAGCAAAGTCTAATACTGAATACAGTCAATGTTCTATTACTTAGAAATTACTCACATTAGTTTGTTTTTCTCAATTGTGGTTCTTGCAAATTTCCCAAAGCCAGTTGTTATTCCATAAACAACTGTAAAAAATAAAAGACGATATCGGATCCTTTTGAGACTTACATTAAACTCAATGTAAATGTGTTTCTTTTTCAATCTTAATTAGTAAAGTAAACTCAATAGACAAAATCAATAGACTTTCAATGTGAACCGTCTGTCCTTAAATATTATTTTGTATTTTTCGCGAAGTTTTTTTTTTTTTTCTCCTTTGTGATTATTTTTTACCTTTATTGCTGCTCACAATGTCGTCCAGAAGCTTTCTAGCTTTATTGACGTTTTGTTCTGCTTCTACTGTCAGCTACAAAAATGTAAAGAGTTGTCCAGTTGATATTGTTTATATCTTAGTTTTGCTTCGTGTTACATCATACATATTTCATTCAATGTGAAGAGATGTGCAGCGAGCAAACAGGGAGATACATTAGTTTTTAATTGACACACTTTCGCTGACTTGTGCTAGATAACCATGCATGTCATTTCTCCATTATTTGACTGTAAGTTATAGAAAGTACTTCATTCTTACCTTTATCAGGTAATGACCTTTCCCTAACCTCAGTAGGTCATCGGTTGATAAACTGTTACCATCTAAAGCAATGTACTGTAAAAACAAGAGGGAGCATTTCATGTTTTTCGACAAAGTATGATATTCCAGAGTTTTTCGTGTGAATTATCACGTATGTTTAATGACTTTGATAAAAACTCTATAAACAAGATTCTTGAATTTGATGCTTTTCTTTGAATCTAGGAATCTACAATTCCTGTATATATAAATAGAAAAGTCTTGTATTTAATATTTAAATGGATAGAAATAATTTTAGATAAAATTTTTGTGAATATTTTACCTCGGTTGCAGATTCCACACTAGTTTTTGCACTTCGATGGTCAAGGAAAGATGGGTCAAATAGAACAGAATACATACATGGATGAATATTAAGTGTAATATGTTTTTTTAAATATCCAAACATTGTAGTAAACTGAAAAATATCATATCCAGGTTTACTACTTTCATCTGTTAACTGCGAGCACAGTATATCATGATATGCCATTAACTGTATGTCAAATTGTCAAGTAACGGAAAAACCGCATAAATGGGCATGCTACTCTTGTCGGGTAACTTGCAGCAAACCATGGCGTGTTCCTCTTGTTAGTTAACTGAACCACAGCATACTCTGATATGGTACATTTCCTAGTTAACCGAGTTAAAGCATATAATGGTATGCTTAGTCTGGTCAATTTAACGACTTACAGCAAACCATGGTATTCTACTCTTGTCAGGTAACCGAGATACAGCATGTGCTACTCTTGTCAGGTAATCGATACACATATTAACGAGATCGATTTGCAATTTAAACAGTTTACCGAGTAACAGCATAACATGGCATACTACTCTTGTCAAGTAACCGAGTTACAGCAAACCATGGTATTCCATGCACTCCTGTCAGGTAACTGTGCTACTTTTGTCAATTAACTGAACCACATCATACCGGAGTGTGCAATGTACTCTTCAGTTAACCGAGTTCGTCATATACCATGGTAATTCACTACATTGTCAGTTAACCGAGTTTCAGCATGCAATGGTGTGCCACTCTTGTCAGTTAACCGAGTTTCAGCATGCCACGGTGTGCCACTCTTGTCAGTTAACCGAGTTCCAGCATACCATGGTGTGCTACTCTTCTCAGTTAACCGAGTTACAGCATATCATGGTGTGCTACTCTTGTCAATTAACCGACTCATTCTCTTAAATCTCTGCTACCATTTTTTATTCTTTGCATCGCATATCAAGAAATTCTCGCACCATTCACTTTAAAGTTAGAGAAATGAACTATCAAAAACCTTAAAAAAGAAACGACGACTTGAACAACCCTATATATTACAAATACATGTATAATAATAAAGTTGAATGAAAGTAATTTATGTTGGCATAGATAAAGCTGGTCTGCAATGAAAGAAAAACTGTAGATCAGAGCAAGGATACATTTTCTCTTCTACGTAAACCGGCTCGGCTGGTCCCGTTACCGGACTTGATATATCGCTGTCAAGAACTGATGAAATATTTAATAAATAGTAGTAAGGTACATGTACTTGATAAAATTTATCTTTTGAATTAGAAGAACGCCAAACGTTTGTATGTTCGTTTATTTAAGAAACGTATGCATAGTAGAATATGATATATTCACTATCGGGATAGCTTTATCTTACCGACAGTGACGAAATCATTTTCGTCCAGGACATCTCTTATTGCGTCATCAGGATCCAAGATGGCGGCTCCCTTAGCTTTCCGAACCTCATAGACTTTCTCCTTAAGAGCATGCCCCACCCCAGACTTAGATTTATAGTACCTCCTTAAAGATTCCTCCCCAAGCCACGTGACTTTCTCAGTCCCTTTACAGGGGACAGCGAACCAATCACCTCGTACACGCACGGAGAGCTTCATTTATATGCACGTGTTCACGGAATAATTACCTACAGTTCTTAGAACATCAAGTGTTTGCAGACAAATGGTTATCTATCTAATAATTTGACCCTTTGAAGGGTTATTTTATACGATACTTGTAAATGTGAAATAGATATTGATAAGAAGTGGGAATAATAACACGTAGTTTCAAATCCTCTAATCTCACATCAAAGAATACTGGAAAATACAGGGCCGTCATCAGGTTTCTGGAAAGGGGGAGGGATTGTAGGGAGGAGGGGGTGGTGTGGGCGGAGAAGCCCCTCTCCAAGGCCAGAAATTTTATACAAATAGATACGATTTTTGGTGGGTTCTGGTATAGTTTTAAAGTCTTTTTTTTTAAATCAATTCAAAAAAATCTGACAGCAATGCTTAAAGCATAAGACAATGAATTCGTTTAAAAATAATTAAAATGCTTAAAATCCTCCTTTTAATGGACTTGAAATAGGTCACAAATAAATAAAAAGTCGATCTTAGTTTTCTATCACAGGGGTCATCGCATTCTTTCTCAAAATTATCCCTACATATTAATTTCCTCTGCATATTTTGGCGTCTGTAGATCTAACACAAACACTCTTTGAACACAATTTCCCTCTCCCTAACGTCTTTTTCCTCTATTCATGAATAGTAAATGTCTTTTTCCATAAGAGATGAATGTAAGGTCGTACCCTTAGTATGCAAATTCTGGAATGAAAAAAAGGGGGTGAAATCTTTCTGGGTGATAATAGTGAGACTGTAAGGTACACTGTAAGGATGCAGTCTTTTTGCTTCTAAAGGCGAATTACGGAATTCACTTTTGAAATTCCTGCAATTAAGAAAATAGGATTGGGGAAAAAACGTACAAAAGTAAATATCAGATTACATATTGGAACTGGTCCCTACAGCGTAAAGGGGGGGGGGGGGGAGGGGGTGTTCCAATCTCCAGGGGTCATTGACCCTTCCTCTCTACCATTGGGTCTCAGGACCAAAGTTTCAATAGCTTAATGAATCACTTTAAATGATCTATTATTTAGATTATATACTAAAAATATTTTCAGTCTCATTTCTGACACATTATTATCTGTTCTACTAGCACAGTGGCATAGGCAAATACTCAAGCGCAAGATGTAGGTCAGATACAGCATTCAAAGGATGCAAAAAGCGTTGATTACATCAATAACATACAGGTATGGACTAAAATATTCATTAAACTGTCTCTACAACAAGTGAACAAGTCAAGATGGGAACATCAGCAGGTACATGTAATATTGTACAGTTTTTATTTTCATATTTCAGCAGTTAAAAAAACACAGCAGCAAAGTTGAAATAAAACAAAGACTCAAGAATAAAGATCATAGAAAAAATATCACAGTTATATATGAACAATACTTTTATATGAATCAGAAAGGCCTCAGGTCAGCTGGCAGCAACCAGCAAAAGTAAAAAGTATAAAAATGTAGTGCCCTGTAGTTCTACAATAAATCTATTGCCAAGCTTACAAAATTTCAACAAAACTTGGTCCCTGTTAAAGGAATCATATATATTAACATCTCATTAAGACTTAATCATGATCATGACTTTTCAATCAGTGTTCTAGTTTTGATTTCACAAAAACAATTATATTCTCCATGTTAAGTGAATATAATGGACTCCTTTGAACTACTACCCTTGACTGTTGTATTTCCTGTCATTTATTTCATCATAATCTACATCATATCGTATACAATTCCCCCTGTGAAAGAGCTCATTCTATTATAATTAAGACTTGAAATCGAAAAATACAATAGAATTTACCAAACAAACATGCTCCTACAAGACTTCTATGGAGTTTAATAAATCTCTTGCATGACCATCTATACACTAATGAAAAATGTTTTTTGACAATATTTATACAATTTTATTATACCAAGGTGTAAATATTGAGTTTATCATTTCATTTTCAACATAGTTTCCCACAATATACCCCTAGGAAAAATGTTCCTGGACAACAAGGTATTGATGAACAGAAATTGCTTACTTTAATGGGGAAAAACATGCAGTGCTCAATCAATTTACCTAGGCCAAATGAAACTTTAAGAATGCTTGAATTGATTACAAATTAAGAATTATACTGTATATTTTTATTCATTTTATTTTATATCCAAGAGCAAACTGCATAAAAATACCTCAGAATTAGAACTCTTTAGTGTTCAATGTATAGAAGATCTGTAAGAAACTCTTGGTGATTGAAATAATATAGGTAACAAATAAACTTCTCTCAGTATCAAACAAATATCAAACGAAATTCTCCAGTAACAACTTCAATACATAAAAAGATGCAAATAAAAACTTTAACATTGCAAGTAACAGACATAAGTGTACCAGTTTTTAAAGGTATCAAAGAACAACACCCCTAAAAAATTACCGATAAATTTCCTAGCATCAATAATTATGAATAAATTTTCTAGCAAAAGGGTCATAAATCCCAGACTGTACGTATCCTTGGTCATTCACTGGCCATGCAGAGTAATCCCGGGCTTTCCCAAGGTTGGTCAGTTTTCTTTCCTTGACCTTCTGGAACACAATTTCGCTCTGGTCTGGTATTTCTGGTTTATCGTACGGGGGCATACACAGTTTAATTTTATCCAGAAGCTGGCCTGGCCAGAAGGCATTGGAATCGGAAGAGCCATGTAATTGCTGGTACCTGATTGCCAAGTGGCTGTTACAAAATTTAAAAAAATGTCACAATATCATTTCTATCTTAGAATATTGTATTCACAAGTTTTTTGGGAGTATACAGAAAAACTTGAAAACGTGTATGTATTTTAAAGCTAGATAAATTTTTTAAAGTTAAATATATAGGACAAATCAGGTTTGATTTGTTTTATTATAGTATAATTGTATTAATTTTATTACACAAAGGGTATAAACAGAATAATCCAATAAAATATCTTAAAACTAAATCAAACCAGATATGTCTTCCTGTAAATTACAAGTTGCCCATGGTTCTTGATGGCCACCTGAGGACACAGCCATTCTTACCTTGTGAGTCTGTCGTACTCCTCAAAGGACATCCAGCAGTCCACCTTCCTCCTGATGATGGCTTTTCCTGTAGACAGATTAGCCCTGGTGCCTGTGGGGGCCACACTGCGACCCTGGGGGTAACGATGTCGGCTGTCTATCAAGAGTCGACCACTCTGGGATCGTCTTACCCGATCTTTGTGTTTGACCTCTATTGGGGTCCGGGGCTTCTTTGGAGGATCAGCATAGTGACTTGAGAGAAGAGGCGCCCCTGGGGTCTTTACTTGCTTACTGATAAAGGTATGTGGGATATCAGGAGGGTACAATAGAACTGAAAGACCAATGACATCAGATATGAAAATTCAAATAAAATATTAAGTGATGTTTAATTTTCCTCTAAAGAAATTAAAAGAAGTGAAATTTTTATTAAGTTTTACTGTTTAAGCATGAAATGTTTTGAAGATTTTCACCAAATGAAGCTTCTGATAACATATGACAAAGGGATTAGCACTAATTAAACTATGAAATCAATTCAGTCTATAGTAAATGCATTATTACATTCATTTTAATCCACATTTAAAATATAAAGCAATTTTACCTTTTTCTAGTAAAGATGGACTGAGTGCAATTCCCTGTTGAGTACACAGCTTGTTAACTTCATAGAACTCTCTAAGCTTGAGCTGTCTAAACTTATCCACCATCCCTGCCATCTCCCCCTCCAGTGTGGACTGCATACAGTGGTCATCTATAGCCTTATCCCCCACCTTAATGATGCCTGGCCCCTCCTCTAACCTTTTAGCTGACTACAATTGGGAAAATGTTCTATGAAAATGATGTTTAATTCATGTGATGGGCATTTTCAACTGTTGCCAACATTCAGAACAATGCATTTTGTAAAGGCTGCAAGCTTTTTCAGGTTGATGGTGAATTTATTCATTTGATAAAATAAGAGACAGTTATGTTGTCTTGTTTTAATGTTTTTATTTCATAGTTTATGCTTGAGCAAGTAAAATATACAGGTAGAGCAAGTGAATTTTGACATTACACCCCCCTCCCGGACAGGCACACATACAAGTTATACCACTAGTAAAGATAAACAAAGGAAGATAACTCTTATGGCAAAAAAAAAATTGACTTTAATCTAGATGCAAATCTAAGACTTGTTTTTAATTATTTATTGATTTATCTTTTTAAAGTCACTTGCCCATTGGCAAGTGTTTATTAAAAATTCACTTGCCCCCTCCCCCTCTAAAATTCACTAGTCCCCAGCATCTGATAAATGCAGGTAAATTATGGCTAGGTATTGGTCCGTTTATATGCAGGTGAGCCAATTATTACTATTATTATGTCAAGTTATACACTCTAGCCATTGCACATTATGACATCATATTATGAAGTCATTGTTCTCTACTACTCAAGGTAATGAACAACATGAACAAAATAGCTTCAGTGTAAGGGTATATCTTATTTAATTCTACAGAATTATTTTATAAGAGGAAGAACATTCAAAAGATTAATGAAATTGTTGCACAAATCCAGTGCATTCTCTCATTTCATCAGAATAAAAAGACATTTACAACAGATCCTGCATTTTTTAACGTGTTTACAATATCATCAATCTTTGGAATGTTCTGTTTTTTATTATTAAATTTTATTTTTGTTGAATTAAATGTACTATGCCCTTGCACTGAAGCTGTTTTGTTGAGGTTATTTATTTCTTTGAGTTATAAAGGACAATGATGTCATAATATAACATAATTATGTGTATTGGCGATACCATGCCAGGAGTACTTAGCATGTATAAAAAAAGGTAAGTTTAAGCCTTCTCTGTACAATAGAGAAACTTCTTACGTGTTTTAATTAGCTCATTTGCATAGAATGCCCATACCTAACCTTAAATTACTTGTGAATGGGATTTTTCAGCACCTGCAATAGATACTTACCATTCTCATCATGTTGGTTTTGAGAGCTTCCCTGTCTCTTTTCCTCAGGTCCACCATTGCTTCCTCAGATGATAACACGATGTGTTCTGGCCCTGTGTCCTGCTCGGGGGGTGACAGATACTGGGGAGTGGTGCTCCTACTCCTCTTGGGCTCTACCTTTGAGGTATCTGTAATTTCTATTTCAATATTCACTTGCTTTCCTTTACTGTCATTATCTCCTCCTCCTAAACCAGAGTCTTGTTTTTCCAACTTTGAGTTGGTCCCTTGTTTCGGGGAACCCTGTGTCCTATCAGTGGAAGTTTTTTCAGGCTTGTCCTCAGACTTGCTTGAGGATCTTGCAGATTTCCTGGATGTACCTTGGGGGGGACTATTAGAGGTTTTGGAAGGTTTTGAATGGACATCATGGTTTGACCTACTTGGTGAAAAATTGCGAATGATCTTTTCATCTACATCTTGGTTTTCATCTACTGTTTCCTCGGACGAGTTGGCATTGGCAGCAGGTAATGACGTTGATGAACCTTTGATGAAAAAATAATTAAATTTTCTTTAAAAAGTTATTAATATATCAAATATAATAACTATTTTGTAAATATTCACAGAGCGATGGTGCATATATTTGAATATGAATTTAGCAGCCATCTCAGGATTTAGTACAGCTTTCAAAATCTAAAACTTGCATTTCAAGCACTTGTGTTAAGGTTCCTAAATCAGTAAAAGACTTAAAAGATGATGCTTACTTGATCTAGACTTTAGAGAATCCATTGTAGATTCTCTTGAAATCTGCTTTCTGCGATTTTCCCTTCTCTCTCGTTTCCAAAATGACAAGCCTTTTGATAATTCTTTATAATCTAAATTGTTGTCGTAATCCATATCAAGGGAGAGAATCATATCCTCCAGCAAAGCCTCGGACATAGGAACCTTAGACTGTAAAATCAAACTTAACTCAATCACCTGCTTCACAGTATATAGTTCAACAATGAATGCTTATTACTCTGTTCAATTCTTTGAGTAAACTTTGTATTTATATTACACTTAATTTGCTTCACAGTGACAGTTGTTACACAAAGATACTGTTATTAAGCTTAGTTATACAACAAATGTATGACATTTTTTAGAAACTTCTTATAAATTCAATAAATTATTACACGTTAATTTATCTCAATGATGTACCTCTTTGATGACCTTTCTGAACTCATCTCTTGTGATTTTCCAGTCTTTGTCTTTATCAGTGGCAACAAATAAGTCAAGAAGTCGAATTTTATTTTTCCTCAAGTGCTCTTCCAAAATTCTTATACCAAGAGGAGCTGGGATCTTAACATTGGGCACATCATGAATAGAGGCCTCAGAGGGGGTTTCTGGGACAACAGGTGGGGGTTCATAATGGGGAGTTCTCTCCTTGATCATTCTGACCAGCACTCTTTTCTCTAGGGCTGTCATGTTTGGTTTCTGATTCAGCCAGCGTTCACTTAGTCCCATATTTTCCAGATCATGACGAAATGTTTGCCGATCTGTCATCCAGTTTTTATATTCCTCCTCTTTCTGCATTTCTTTCTCTGCAATCATTTCTTCCTCAGATGGTTTAGGCTCTGCTTGAACTTGTTCTCTAAGTTCTGCATTTAGAACTGGTGGGGAAAGGGGAGGGGATTTTCGACCATGATACACACCCAGTCGATGTTTCAATGGTGTTTCCATAGGTGGGGCAATCATAACTCTCTTTCTACTCAGTGGTCCTCCAAAGATTCTGACAGCAGCTTTGTAGTGCTTGATATGAGCAAGGTCACGCTTCTTGAATGAATTCAAGCGCTCATCCACTGGTATATGATCTAAATTGTACTCATCAAAGAGACGATGGAGGGGGTAGCTAACATCTGTATCTGTTAAGTCCACAGGACCAGCCCTGTGTCTCGGAGGCATTGTGCACTCTTTTAATATTATCAACGGTTTGTTAAGAATATATTGGGATGGTGGTATACACGATTGTTAGGCCTGAAAATAAAAGTTAAACATCCATTGGAATTAAATTTCTTAATCACAACAGGTCTGGGACTAGAAACAAATAATTTTTGTATTAAAAACATTTAGTCGTGTGGTTTGAAGTTCTCTCAAAAAATGAAATAAAAATGTAAAGATATGGGGCTATAACAGATGTCATGAACGTGATCTACTTTCCTGACCTGGTCACCTTATTTTAACGTGTTTAATTGTAAAAATGTATAAATTTATTGTCTGACGCCATGGCGTCAGACAGTATTAGATTTAGCCAAGGCTTGTTGGTCAAGTCGTTCAATAGAATTCTTGTGATAACTTGATCTTGGAAACTTCATACTCAGTTGGAGAGCATGGGGAGTACAGAAAACAATCATGCTAAACACCCAAACAAGCCAGAGTACTGGACCTATTTATTATCACATTATACATTACAGGTTACATAACATTTGGCCATTCTCGAATGCATATCATTTATGTCCAGCAAAACAGCAGGAATGAAGCTGATCAGGTCAACACTTGTCGATTATCTTTTTCAGATTAACTAATGGATGTTTATTTTCAATACATACTAAGACTCTCTACCTTTAGAATTTTTATAAATCTACACATATTCATAACTTGCAGATGTTTTATTTCTGCCCTTCGTGAATTAAAAATTGTGAGTGTATTTACCAATAACCAGTTAATATCTATAATGTAACTATAACATAGTTCAAAAATTATCAAAGTGAAGGATAGATGTTGAATATTCTTTTGCTTAAGGACAGATGATACAAACAAACTTTTATTGAATATCTTGAAAATAACAACTAAAGCCATGTTTATATAAGTAAAATGAATAAATTTAACCGCAGAGTTTTTAATTTTTCATTCGAAATTTCACATTAATAAGATTTAAAGCGACAAAAATTGTATAGATTAATAAGGATGGTTGAAGACAGGTAGAATTTTGAACATCATTTGCGATCAAAATAGGTCCAAAAATATACATCTATCCAGACATCCATTTTTTGTTTGTACCATTTGTCCTTAAATGCAAAGATGTTAGCTACGTTCATTTCTTTAAATAAGACATTTCTTAACTATCAAAATTGTTCACCAATTGATTTTTATATGTTGCAACTTTTTCTTTCAAAAAGACTGGTTTTATCTTTGTATCCAATGAACAGACCCGTTGGAAGAAATTTCAGAAATTTGCAGTTTAGGGTGGACACTATCAAGGAAAAATTCCTTATAGAACATACAAAAGTTATCAGAAGTTAATATTTACATGATTTAGGTGACGCAATCATAAAATAGCTATGTATATAAATCGACAAAATTATTGCCCCCCCCCCCCCCGAAATTACAAGAAATATAATGTACACAGAATAAATTCATGACAAGTTTTATTTTATGTTGATGCCACTGAATTGATTTTTTTTTTTGTTTCTTAGCAAAAGAATTCATTTTATGACTAAGACTCATGTTGATTACACTGTATTTAACATTTCTTGATTCTTCACGTAAAAATAAATTTGCTCAAGTCAGACAAGCTTTTTAGGAAAGCTAATACTTGTAAGCATTTAACGTACGTCGGTGATGTGCTGTCTATCCGCTCTCCTTCCCTCCACTAAAGTCCGCCATCTTTGTTGCCGTATAAACATGCCAGAGCGCCACCTTCCGGCAGATATATAATAATTTTGAAAGGGCATTCACTCTAATGATATTGTAAAACATACATAGATCTACGGTGGCTTGTTCGGGACATTGGACCGAAGATCTTTTTTTCCTCATTGATTTATTTAGTATCAAGTCATCATACATTTGTGAGCAATAAATCATTTGAAGAACATCATATTTGAGAGACATATTTTTTAATAAATAATTATTACAAATTCTAATAAGACGTGGGCTTTTAAGGTAATCTGATCCTCAGGTTCTGAAAATCAGCAGTTAAGACTGGTTAAGTAATTGAAAATGCTCATAAAAAATATCACCAAATTCACAAATTATAGTGTATTTACCCACGGTATTTCTTTAAAATTTACCATTATACTTAATCATATTATTTAGAGAGAACATTATGAAATCTCATAATACATGTATATATATATATTTTCAGGAAGCCAGCTATGCATTTTCTAATTGAAAATTATTCAACAAATGTATTTTAGGATAAAAGCGATAGGTATCCAGACATTCAGTTAAAATTGTGTGTGTGTGTGTGTGTGTGTGTTTTTCTTATACGGTATTCTAATTCTTCTATTTACATCAATTATTATATAATACATAGTGTAAAAAGGTTTTGCTTATCATTGCAAGACTTCGCAATTCACTTCTAATTTCATATCATGCTAATAAGCATTGGTATACATATGTAATAAGGCTAGATTAAAGGGAATCGATTTCTCTAAAAATCTATTTATTTTTATTTATTCGGTGGAGATGCTTGTTTGGTGTGTTACATGTATATACGTAAAACATCACTTCATGGATGACTCTTACTAATATACATGTACTAAATTATGACTGAAAACATCAAGAAACTGAGATTTTAGGTTGAAAAATGCTAAAATAAGCATTATCGTAAAAGAAGGATCTGATGCTCAAGATTCTGTTCAAGAACCGATTTCCGCCAAGGAACACTGGCGGAGACATAATCGTGACACAAGCATTTTTATCCTTTTTAATTACTCAAAAGATCTTCAATAATATCAGTGCTCAGTGCTATTAGAGATTGACTGATTGTTTGTAATTTAACGTCATTTGCACGATTATATTACTCGAATATGTATGGAACGTCACCGTATGTCGGTGAAGGGCTTCAAGTTGACTCATGGCCATTGAAAAGTGAGGGATATTATATCGACTTACTATTGTTGCGGCACTGCGGGACATGGAGACCGGTCCTTCGGATGAGACCGTATAAACCAAGTTGCCGTGTCGCAGTAGGTGTTGGCACGAAAAAGACCCCTCATTGCTCAATGGCCCTGAGTGCCGAGTATAGGTATAAATTTGCAGCCCTCCAACGACACATTCAGTATGAAAAAATGACCAGACAACTTTTATGAAAGATGTCAGTCAACATTCGACTATAAAATTGGAATTTAAACAAGATTTTTGATACCCTTATATCATCAACTTATATGTCAGTAGGCAGTAGCCTGCCTCGTCTAGAAATTGTTCGAACGTAGAATATGCTCTTGCGTAACGAATCAAGTGGGAGACATAAACCTCATATGCAGGTTATTATGGTATATTGTACATGCATAAACATGACAAATATTAAGGAAGTTGACGAGTGAAAAGTTGAAATCATGTTAGTTTTTAGCTTGCCAACAATGTTTTTCTCTTGTTAAATAAATCCTACATGAAAAGAAGAAGTCTCTTGCTGTGACCTTCAATTCGACTTTAAGATATATCGATGACATAATATCATTAATAATAATTATTCATTTTCATTCGTATGTTGATTCGATATATCCCACTGAACTCGAAATATAAGACACAGAGTCTGACACATTTGTCTCATATTTTTATTTTTCAAAACATGTTTCTTGTTTATGCATATTGAATCACGTACATTTATCGATTATAGTTATTAATAGAAAAAATCTTTCTTATTAAAGAATGATAAAGGTTTTGCGCTTATATCTGTTCGTACATGACAGTTAAAATGTCACATATATATTCATCAGAAAGAAAAGCTGGTGTTACATTGAAATTGAACAAGCTTTTAAAATTGTCACAAGAAAATATATATGCACCACACTAGAGTAAATTTTCAAAGTTTCTTCCCCCCCCCCCCCAAAAAAAAAAAAGAGACGGTAAAAAAAGACAAATATTCCAGCCAGAATTTGTAATTAAGCTACCCATTCAAAGTGTGGTTATAATCTCTCACTATCCCCCCCCCCCACACACACACACACACACACTCAACAGTTTCAATCTAGTAGGAAACAAAAATTAAATTTGCACTTTATGTTGCTAATTCAAATTCAACATAATTATATACATACTTGCACAAATTATAGCTCCAATACTAAATATTTGTTGAACGAAGAATTTAATAGCTACACTTGATATATGTATATACATTTATCATGTGTACCTTTATATCATTAAATACACATGGATAAGTCACATGATAGTCAATCTTTGTAGAACTGACAACACATTATATTCCAGTCTTTTTGTGTTTGGTCATCTAGCTACATATGCACTTGCCATGCTTTATAATACGAGTACTTATATATAAATCACGCACATGTACTCATGTACTTATTTTTATCCACTCACTTTTCCCATGCTTTTGGAGCTCATACTTTTTTTTTCATTTTTTCCACGTCAGGTATGCCAGTCTTAAAATTTAACTGATATGCAATTGCACATTTATATATTGCAAATGTTCTGAAAAGCCAAGTGTTATAAATAAATAGAAACAACACGTAACTTCAACTACAATTAAAGGTTGCTGGCAACTCTGCCTTATTATACTCAAACCAGAAAATCGAAGAACTCTGGTGTTGATAACTTGATCTCTCCGTATATAGAAATTATCATCTTAAACTATATATCAGCAATGATAGCAAACTGCCTTAAACTTGAATTACTTTTCTTTCTTCTTTTACATCACGACACTGAAATGAATTAAAATGATATATAAAGAAAAGTTTTGACTCTTCAATTAAGTTTTCGAAATTCAATACAATTATTGTTAAGATGTTCTTAGACGTTGTAAAGGGACGACATATTCGAACTTTTAGAGATTTAAGTATAACCTTTTCAACAATTGGTCCGGCGCATGCCATTCGGATTCTCTCTGGAGTTGCTGGACATTCCAGTCTGTAGTTACCAGATAATCCATTTGCCTTACGTGCAGCTATCACAGCCTCTCTCAGAGCAAGATGTAGAGATACAGCCAGCAATAAAGGTGGCTCCCCAATTCCCTGAAGTAGAAAAATAGCTAGTTAGCGTCAGGCCAGAAATCAAATACGACACGTACTTCTTGTGGTGATCACTTTCATCATATATCCATGAATTTGAAGGAATCGTACTAAAACATAGGGTTGTTTTTCAAAAGCTTGCAATTGGATGAAATAACGACTAACAAAAATAATATACATGTAGAGGCATATTTTGTAAACCTAAGAAGAATATTATATTTTGTCAACCATCCGACATTGCTGTGTGACATACCTTTGATGAATACACTTCTTTATGGCCACCGGCAGCTTCTTTCAATAATGTGACCTTAAAATCTTTCGGAATGTTTCTGATCCCAGGAATTTTGTAGTTAATTGGTCCACAAGCTTCTATTAGACCAGCCTCTGGATTCACTGTCACTTGTTCGGAAGTCATCATACCACAACCCTGTTTTATAGGATTTCTTCTTGAGATGACAAGAATTTGCAGTAACTGATTTGCATCAGTGATGTGTTCTATTATCATTTAATCATGTAGTTTATCAATTTTGGCATCAATTTTCCTGCCAAGTCTGGCCATCAAAAAATTATCAACAGACGATAACAATATAAGTGATAGTTTTGAAAAAAGAGTTTTCCGATTACCTGTACAAATCCTCCTTCAATTTGACCGACGTCGATAGCAGGATTCAAACTTTTCCCCACATCAAATACAATATCTGTTTTCAGAATCTAAATATAAAATAAACAAGTATTAGCTTTCCTAAAAAGCTTGTCTAACGTGAGCAAATTTATTATTACGCGAAGAATCAAGAAAATTAAGTTAAATCCAATGTTACAACATGGCTCTGAGTCCAGAAATGAATTCTTTTCTTCTAGGAAACAATAAAAGTTCCATTCACTGGCATCAACATAAAAACTTAGACATGAATTTATTCTGTATACACTATATTACTTTTTTTCATGGCCGTAGGAACCGGGGGGGGGGGGGGGGGGGGGGCGGATGCCCATTTATACATAGCTTCTTTATGCTTGTGTCTAAATCATGTAAATAATAACGTCTGATAACTTTTTTTATGCTTGAATAGGAATTTCCCTTTGATAATGCGCACCCTTATCTGAAAATATTTGGTTGTGCACCCCCTTCTCGTGAAATTTCTTCCAACGGCCTCTTAGATACTTAGATATAACCGGTGCGTTTGGAAAAAAAAACAACAACACATAAAAATCTAAACACCAGTTGGTGAACAGTTTTGTTGATTATGAAATGTTTCATTAAAAAAATAATAAACGTGTTACAAATGAGCTAACATCTTTGCATTTTAGCAAAAGATTTTTTAACTATGAATAAATCAAACGTCTGCAAGTTATCACAGTGTAAAATCCACTGTTCAAAAAAAAAAAAAAAAAAAAAAAAAAAAAAAAAACAACTTTATTTTGGACTTTACCTTTCAATTTCTAAATTTTTTTTTGGTTATATCTTATTTCTCACGATATGTTCAACGAATCTAATTATTTAATTTAATTTACGAGTGACACTTTTCGGACAATTGATCTGTTATTACAAAGAGATAGAGTGCTGTCTCAAGAACTGTTAATCTCTTATAACAACATTGTGTTATTATCTGTTATTCATGTCCAAACATCAAAGAGTCATTAAGTATATTCAATTACTCTATACCTGTGAATCTTTCAATTATTTTACTTAATGTCAACACCTATCATTTACTTACTTATTTTGTACATTCTTATAAATAGTCATGTATAATTTCAATCTTATGTCTTACTGCCCATTCAACCAACATACCAAATTTGAAGTTAATTTGCCAACCCTAAAAAAAGTTATTAGAAAAAAAAACAGAAAATTTGTGGACGGAAGAATGACAGACGGACAGACAGACAGACAGAAAGACAGACGGACAGACAGACAGACAGAGTGATTACTATAGGGCACCCGCAAATCCTTGCGGGGCCCTAATAAAGCCCTAAACCAAACTGTACACTTTGGAAAAGTGCAGTCTTGATCTTGATCAAATGACGTTGATCGGGGACACAAGACACCTTTTGGTCATAGGCATCCTTTGTCCGAAGTGTGAGTTAGGGCCTTCGGACACTTTGTCTTGTACGAGCAACTAATGTTTCTCATTTGCAAAGTTATGTTATACAAAAGATTCAAAACGACCAGACGGAAAGAGAAATATCCCGGTAGATGGACACATGGCGATTTCTAGATATTCATCAAATTTTGTTTGTAGGAGGTTATAATAATGAAAAGTCAATTCATTTTCATAAATCTGACGTACACAGTAAATTGTGAATGTAATCTAAAAGAAATCGGAGATGAATTTCATTGCCTACTAATGTGCACTTCACTACAAAAAGAAAGAATGCTATGCTTAACAGAAAACACACATAAGATTTAAGAATATAATTAGTTTTAAAAACATCATGAATAGCAATAAACACTGTTTCCTGAGAAAAAATGTGTTCGTTTATAAAGAAAATAAATAAAATATGCTCCCCGGCCTAGAATTCCCATGCTTCACATTTATAGCAAAGTACTAGTTTTTGTTCTTTATTATTCACGCATGCTATTGCTATATATTAAATTATCTATTTGGTGTAAGTCTCTATATGCTATTGTAAAATGGTGAAGAGATTCAAATAAATGAATACTGGCATGAAGTAGATTAAAAGGTAAAATGTCCAACATATCAAAACAAGGACCTGATTCTCTCCTGTTAAAACATCAATCTCTGTCACGGTGCACGCCGCGCCGTAGCCGTGGTACAAGCAGTAATCCCCTCCCTCCTCCTGCTTCTTGAAGTTATATCCTTTGTCACGTGATCTGAAGAGCGAAGAAAACTGACCTCAAGACCATAAATCGGAAACAGACAGCAGTCAAAATTTTGATTTTGAATATCTTAAGTTTTATTTCACGAAGTTTAAAAAAAGGACAGTTTAGCCCTAGAATATTCAAATACAAACATAGTTGAAAATTTTATTTGATTAAAAAAATTATATAAAAAATTCAATTAATTTTAAATTTTGACTTGAGTCTATTTATGGTCTTGAAGCCTGGTCATCTGAACAACATTATTCAAGAATTCTATTAAACCACTTCAAACAGCTATGTCGAAGAGAACATCAATTACCAATATCATTAAAACAATCATGAAGTAATGTTTATCAGGTTTGATTAACCTCCTTGATACTGTTATTGCATCATTGCACTTACTTGTAAAAACCGGTGGCAGATAAGTTAATTCTACTGAAAATGGCTGCGTTAATCTACAAAGACAAATTGTTTGCATGCATTTGACATTTCATAATAACTGGAGGATATTGTATAATTAATCAAGATGAAATGATAGTTAAATCTCCTAAAATGAGCTCACACACCAATTCTGTCCAGGATGCATTTGGCATTGTTTCCTTTAGAACACTTAGTCTTTCTTTGATTACTTCACAAGCATTCTACAACACATAAATAAACAATGGGGAGATGGATATCGGAAATAGAACTCATTTTCAAACATAAATTTCTTACTTTCTGTAATCTGCTTACGCTCTAATTTTTTAAAATCAAATTTCACATATAAGCATTTCATTTTCATGTAATAGGTTAAGTATTTATGGATGGGTTGTCGAAGTTTTATTGCAGACGACAAGAGATTTAGAATCTGAACCTAATAATAAAATGCATGATAATTAACATCGTTAGAGATATCTACCTTTACCGCCCCTCCGTTTATGTCTGCCACAAAACTCCCTCCAGATTCAGTAGAGTGGGGAACCGAGTGAGTACTTGTTTCACAAAGATGAACTTGGTGTAATGGGATACCCAATACCGTGGCTGCAATCTATACGTACACAATTTACTAAACAAGTATACTGTATGACAATTTATAATTTCAATTTCAATTTTTGAAATGATGAAAAATTTAAAGCATCATCTTTATTCGTCTGTTTCTTTGATGAAATTTAGTTTTTCCTTGATTTCAAACATAAATTCCACTGATATAGGGTCAGACATTGCATCGCAAACTCTGTACTAAGTATATCTACTTTTAAAAGAGAAATCTTTTCCTTGTAGATTCCATTTCGTTATGTTTATGTGTACCTGACACATCTTTGTATGAAGACCTTGTCCCATTTCTATCCCTCCATGTGATATCAAAACTGAACCATCTTTATAAACATTGACCAAAGCCCCAGCCTAAAAATCCAAACTGCATTTTACAAATCAACAGACAGTGAACAAACATTATTAATGAAATTCGGTTTTGGTTTTACTTTTATCATACAATGGAAGGTAAAGAAGTATACATGTATGTTAGTTACCACTTTTGATCATAATGCATGATTAACAAATATACTTAGTCTATGATAAACTTACATAATTAGCACTCAGTGGAGGGTATCCAAAGAAGAAGATACAGGGGGACATGGCTACACCTCTCTTTCTCCATTTATTGTCCCTGACAGAGATGGAATAACAACATTAGAAATCAACAGTGAAGATATGATAGAGGTTGTATATTATATAAATGGTGCCTGTTTTGGAGGGTACATGTAACAGTTGAAATTGATACCCCAAGGAAAACCATTGTCAACCGACGAGTCAATTTCAACTGTTTCCCTCCAAAACAGGCACCATTTATTTTATTACACTGAATGTCTTATTGATTTAGCATGTCAGTAAAAAAAAAAATTCGTCCATCGTCTTTACGTTCACGTTTAGAAAGCTTTCAAACTCCGATATACAAAAACACTATACTGGCAAAAATGCCCCGGAAACCCAAAGTAGCAAAGCACAATTTTGAGAGTGTATATAATAGACAAAGAACGCAACTCTTAATTACCGTAATCTTGCAGCGATACAATATGTGTCATTTCATTTTTTTTCTTCATTTCAAAACACACTGTCTCGCACGGACTGTAAAAAGATTTTCATTCTCCCCGAAGACTAATAAGCTTACAGCATTAACCCTTTTAATTCATTTTAATTTTCTAGGATTTGAAGATGTATGAAAGTGATGAACGATAAAAGACCTCTTCTCTCTCTAAAATTGGGGTTATACATGTACTTGATTTACCAAAATATTGCATCAATAGTATAATTATTATAATCAGAGCGCATATCAAAAAATAATCGAGATGGGATTATTTTTTGAATTCTTTTTTTTTATAACCATAGACGTAAAAGCAACTTAAGACGCTCACAAAACAACTTCTGTTTCACGTTCTTCAGGTTAGACTTTTTTTTTTAACACTTAAAGTAGGTCGCGGGGTTGGTGATCTTTAAAAATTGCTCGAAAACATATTATGAAAATTAGTTATTTGAATCTCCTTCTTTTGTTGTACATTCTCTGAAAATTTTATAAAATTCGTCTGCATCGTTTTTGCGTTATTAAATCCCAAACATGTCATCGTTGTCGTAACATTTTCGACGCTATTCTATTATTCTATTGAATTCTATAGGGAAAAACGTCATTTTTCACTCGTTTTCAGGCAAGATTTCGTCAAAAAAAAAATATCTCAGTAATTTTTAAATGGTGCAGACGAAATTGTTCCCCTTTTGGTCATTTCACACAGAGATGATTTCCGATAAATCTATGTAAAAAAATTAATATGTCTTCGAGTTAGTTTTCTCGTAATTTACATGCGAATTATTGCTTTTACTTTGCAAAATGTAACATTTTTTAAGAATGACGCTATAAACTATCGCGACGTCACGCTCGACATCGTGAATACGGTCCGGTATAAAATGCAGAAATACAAAATAATATAATAAAAGTAAGAAAGAAATTTATGTCTATATACATTTAATGTAAAATAAGCACAGGTGTATGAGTTAAGTAACAATGTATCTTGTCTGAAACACTTTACGGTTTCAATTGTTTATAAGCTGTAACTAAAGAGAGAGAAGGCTTGGGTGGGGTTTGCAGATACAGTACTCCTAGCGTAATATTCAGAGACTTTTTTCTTACAAGAATAGGGGAGGGAATATTAATTAGAGAACTTAATTAGAAAAAATGGTTTTTTTAACACACTGGAAGCTAGTTCCTATATGGGTGGATTTTTTTGTTTTTAATATGGATTGATTGTATTTCTTATTCTTTAAAAAAGCTATACAAAACCCTTCTTTGTATACGGAATTTTTACATTGGTAATACTCGTACGAGTACACACGCAGCATACGACTGCTCCTTTAACATGATGTCGCTCTCGTATCACCACATGTCGTCAGCGTTTTTTTTCCCAAATTAATCCCATTCTGTTGATAAATAAAAAAATACCAAGAACTACTTTTGTTTTGTCTGAAAAGATCACAATTTTTCACCGAACTTTGTACATATTTTGAACGTCCGACTTTTTCAATCTTGACGCCGTTCGATATTGTCAACGTATTTGCAAAACATGGTGTTATAATTAATATTCTAAAGAATTTAGCCTTTGATGGTCGTTTTTTTTTAAAAAGATATTAAGATACACAGGAACAAAGGATGCAATATTTAGTTGGGGGGGGGGGGGGAGAGAGAACCCAACAGATATAAACAACCTCAGGCCCGTAGCCGCTAGCTGCGAGACGTTGTAATTTTGGACCTTTCATTTCTTACTTTGTTCAATTCCCTCTGTGATAATACATGTTTCTAAATCTTTTTAAACATCACTTATTCATTTTCCCCTGTTACCTGTTGAAATCCGTCACTTCTTTTTCTACAGTGTTAAAGTTGCTCTGTTTTTTACAGTCCTCCCAGCATCGGATCAGATTAAAATCTGACAAAACTTTACCATACATGTCTGTGTCCCCTTCTCTGAACGTATTCATCTCTCTCAGCTGTAACCAGAACCAGACACAAAAGTCTATCTCTCTCCTCCTCATAAAATTCATTTCAAATATATATAAAAGAATTTTTTATAACTTTGTAGACAAAGACCAATTCATTAAGAGAGAAAAGAAAAACTTGAAGACTGACAAATTTAATAGTTTTTTTGATAAGAGCTCACTCTATTGAGGGACATGCCCAGGTGTTTCGAAACATCAAACATAATACTCTGAATGATGAAGTGGGCCTGAGGCATTCCAAACCCCCGCATTGCCGTACTGGAGGGGATGTTAGTCTTACAGAGATGTCCGGTGGAGGAGTAATGGGGAATTTTATAGATGCTTGCCATCCCTGGCATCATTTGGTTTAGTACCTGAGTGTATATACAATATAAGAATTAATGTGGACAAACCTCAAGACTAAATTAAAAAAATACACAATAAAATAAGATTATTATCTTGTATTTGACAGTGCAATCCGAAAGTTGCTTGGTCCGATTTTTATGGTTAAAAATATTTTGGTTTTTTTGTGTAAAATAACTCTTTATAAAAAGTTTCAACTTTCGTCAAATTATATCGGATCCTCAGATTGGGGTTCTTTTAAAAGATGCTAATATATAAAACATATAAAACTTTAAAAATATTTTTTGCATGGTCACTCAAAAATAAAGAGAATGCCAAGCTTGTACATGCTCAGCTTAGTAAACAAATCGCATGATGAAAGTCGACTGAAAATGTGGTCGTCCAAAATCACTAAGTGACTCTGAGGGTAAAAAGAAGAGATCCAGACTGTGGAATCGCTTAGGAAGAACTCGAATCCAGCACACAGTACAAAATATCTAACGGTAACTTCACGTATTTCTCACATGGACCTTCCCATTTGATTAGCTTTTTATAGGTCATGTGGTCTCGTCGTCTAAATTTGTCAACATGGTTTTTGACCGAAGTTTTTCCCTTATAAATATCGTAGTAATAACAGAAGAACACAGTCGTATATATGTTATTTTAATACATATTCTATGTATACATGTACTTCCTTTTTTGAAGAAATATATGCATCTTAATTGGACTAAGCTAATTTAAAATAATATAATTATCATCTGAGATTCAGCAATTATTTCACAATGTTTTGAAGTTAATGATTAAAATATCTCTTTTCATGAACAGCAATTATTTGTAAAATTTGACGAAAGAATGGAGCTTTTCATGCAATATGAAAATGCTTGCATTGCCAATGCGATGAACATATTTAACTTAAAATAAAGGAAGACCTCTTTTCAATTTCAAAAGTGCCTGAAAAATTATGACTCTTATAGAAGGAATTCAAACAACTGACCCGGGTAAGTACTACAATGCATTTGCCCATGATGTGGAAAAAAACAGTGTCAAATTAAATTTTTAATATATTAATTATGACAGAATTAAACAATTTGCAACTGTTTCTGATGCCAATAGTTGTGTGATTCCATTTGAAAAAAAATGTAATACATAATTTGTATATTTAAATACTTTTTTTAATTTGTACGAGGGCCGTTCAAAAATTACGCGGACTCTGCTATTATTTACTCTTACAGACGTCATTTAGAATTGAAATTTCATGGGAACATATTCCTTAAAAATTCCAATAAATTCTTGGTAAATATTTTTTGATTTTATTTAGTATCTCATAAAATTATTGCCGTTTTGATACTGCTGATGATGATATACGGAGCACGGCAAAAATGTTGAAAAACAAACATGCGGTATCCAAAATTTTATTCATTTATTTTCCATACTTCACGATATTATTCATCAATTTTCTCTAAAATTTCTTTTTATTGTTTTATTATTGAGTATTTAGATTTCTGACGTAATATTTGAAGTACTAACAGAAATATTATAATTTTTCTCCGATGTGACCCCCTACGAAATCAACTGCAAAAATAACGTCTCGTGATTTGACGGAGCAGCGCACTTTTATCAAATCATGAATCATGCTGGGAAAACGCCAATAGAGACCCAAAATATTCCTGATGAAACATGTAGTAAACTAGCAGAATTTCCGACAAATCTCTACAAAATGTAAAAAAGAATTTTAGACTGTTAGACCTTAGTCAAAAGGTAATCCGGGAGGGATGGAGGAAATTCATAGACAAAACACTGATCTGGGCTGTTAAGAATGTGATTGAGATCGACTGACGTCAAACTTTACTTCAGAAATATCTTCAGTTTTGGGGTTTAACACAAACTAAAACACACAATTATAGTTTTATAGTTTTTAAGCTGAGTCGGAAATGGTATATGGATGTTTATTCTGAGTGAATAAGGTAACACAAACTATACAGTATCAAATACTATGGGAAAATATTGAGAAAATGAAAGCTCCCATTTTTTAAAACGCCCGTGACGTTGAAAGTTTTACTGCGCCGTGACTTCATGATATGTCCTGTTAAATCACCTAAAACTGATACCAATTTACAATATTTTGATATGAAATTTTGATGATCATATATGTAAAGATTCTTTTATATTATTGATGACATTTTGCTTGATTATGTCCTCAAATATATTTTCTGTGCAACAACGCCGCGTAATTTTTGAACGGCCCTCGTATAGTATTCATTTCAATATATGTTTTACTTCTTTAGGTTGGGATCATGCATACAACAAAAGTAATATGATTGTGTTGTCTGGCTTCCCACTAGATTACAGTAGTGGGACAACCCTTTAGCTCGATTGGCAGAGCACTTGACTGGCATGTTAGAGGTCCCGGATTTAATTCTAAGTGAAGGCACAAACATGTCTCTGTTACACAACAATACTTGAGATGTTTTAAATGAACTAAGTACTCAAGCACTCACCAACGGACTGAGTCCACTGAAAGCTCCAGCATTTAAATAAAATTGCAAAGACAATGCATTCAGTTTTCCATCTTTATTGAAGCCAACCTGTCAAATAAAAAAAGAATATACACATGGGCCACTCATAGATTTATATTGCGGCCCTACATGTCATAACGGAAACAAGAGGCCCATGGGCCACATCGCTCACCTGAGTAATTTTGGCCATGCTGTTCATTACCAGACTTCCCCCTTGTAATACCTATTGTGGCCCCGCCCTAACCCCAGGGGCCATGATTTGAACAATTTAGAAACTTAGGATTCCCTATTGTGCCCCCCCCCCCCCATCCCCGGGGTCATGATTTGAACAATTTAGAGTGTAAACTACATGAGGATGCTTCCACATAAGTTTCAGCTTTTCTGGCTCAGTAGTTCTTGAAAAGAAGATTTTTCAAGATTTTTCCTATATATTTCAATGTAAAACTTGTATTCCCTATTGTGGCCCCGCCCTACCCCCAGGGGTCATGATTTGAACAATTTAGAATCTACACTACCCCAGGATGCTTCCACATAAGTTTCAGCTTTTCTGGCCCAGTGGTTCTTGAGAAGAGGATTTTTCAAGATTTTTCCTATATATTTCAATGTAAAACTTGGATTCCCTATTGTGGCCTCGCCCTACCCCCGGGGGTCATGATTTGAACAATTTAGAATCTACACTACCCAAGGATGCTTCCACATAAGTTTCAGTTTTTCTGGCTCAGTGGTTCTTGAGAAGAAGATTTTTAAAGATTTCTCCTATATATTTCAATGTAAAACTTGGATTCCCTATTGTGGCCCCGCCCTACCCCCGGGGGTCATGATTTTAACAATTTAGAATCTACACTATCCCAGGATGCTTCCATATAAGTTTCAGCTTTTCTGGCCCAGTGGTTCTTGAGAAGAAGATTTTTTTATGACCCCACCCTATTTTTGTCTTTTCTTGATTATCTCCCCTTGTAAGGGGACTTGGCCCTTTATTTTAACAATTTTTAAAACTCCCCTTCCCCCAATGATACTTTGTACCAAGTTTGGTTAAAATTGGCCCAGTGGTTCTTGAGAAGAAGTTGAAAATGTGAAAAGTTTACAGACGGACGGACGGACAGACGGACGGACAGACGGACAGACGGACGGACGACGGACAACGGGTGATCAGAAAAGCTCACTTGAGCTTTCAGCTCAGGTGAGCTAATAAAAGTACACCATACTCGAGAAATCATGTCAGTTTTAAGTATATATTTCATATACCGGTATGTACTGTTTTTCTCTAAGATTCCTTTGTAATAATTTTTATAGTTATCTCAAAATTAACATTGATTTTCTGTTAAGTGTTGTTCAGTCATGGCATCACAATCACATAATTCTCAAAAAAGGTGAAGAGGTCTTTATAGTAACTATTGTTAGGTAGCAACATATCTGAAAACATTCATGGATAAATGTATTAGTATTTTGAATGGGAAAATCACTGACGTAAATTTAAGTACATGTAATAGCTTTTGTCTTTGAAAAGTTATTGAGGGATCTAAACTCAAACAGGTACATTTTCGTAAACACTAATGCTTAGAATAACAAGAGTGAAACATACTCAATATCTTATAATCATAATGCAGGTATTTACAAGAATTATGTTTTTCAAATAATAAGAGTCCACTTTTTGATATCCAAAATTAATATATAGTAAACAAAAAATAAATATTGAATTTTGTGTTAACTAAAATAATCATATTTACCATACACTTGGTATATAATAAATATCCTTGCACAGTATCGGCCCTTTTCAATTGCTGACGATTTGCGATAAAAGGAGTTTCACCTTATTTCAAACAAGGACTAAGCAGCTCGAAACATCACAACAATTGCCAACCAAATAGCTCTAAATAACTATTCACGCGTTTTTATTACTTATTGAATAAACTCCTTGCATATACTGACCGATGAATGACGATTAGTGCTTACTTTATAAAACGCTTTTGTTCCGTGTCGTTTACCAGTAGCTCTGACGTCATAGTCCCGTTGGAAAACACACCGGACTGGTCTATTCACTCTAAAATTAAAAAAAAGAATGGATAAATTTTTCTTGGAGATCCTATATATGTTATGATACACAATGAGCATGGTGATATACGAGTACATATGTATAAGAGGCATATCAATATTGAAGAAGCAGAGTGAAAAACCCTATAGGATTTTCAAACAATTTTTCAAAGTTTTTATGTAAAGCACAATGCAAGGAGTATAATAAAAAACATTATTATACCTCTACTGTAATTACTCTATATAAAATTAATACCATAAAACTGTCTATTTCCACGAGAAGAGACTATTTCCCTCATCTGAGGACTACTCCCTGGAAAATCAGAGCTACTCCCTGGGACTACTCCCTCATGAATATTTATTAGTAATTTTAATCAATCAAAGTGTTCAGTGGGCGGAGCGTTTAAGAAATCTCGAGTCTGTGACGTCATGTTATTAGCAATGTAACTATGACGTCAAAACATTTCGACATGCGATGTCAAAATCATACTTGGATTCTAGCGAAATGAAGGCAACGATAATTCTTCGAAATGTCAGTGAAAACACTTTTTAAAAATAATTTAATTGTTTTAGGACACGATGCATTACTTATAACAATGTGTTAAACCGCATGTATTTGTGATTTTGCCTCTACATTGTTTTTTTTTTTTTTTCAATGTCGGAATGTCTGGTGAAAAAATTAAATCATCTATGATTGTTTCGGTATAATAAAACAGTTATGGAATGGGAACTCGGGAAATAGCAAATTTATGGTTCCCCTTGGCAGGAAACTATTTCCCTCGGCGGCTTCGCCGCCTCGGGAAATAGTTTCCTCCCTCGGGGAACCATAAATTTGCTATTTCCCTCGTACCCATTCCATAACTGTATAATATAATCAAAAGAGTATAATAAATATGTAAGTTGTCATACATGTCATCTGTAAAGCAAGACAAAGAGCAAGAGCCACTTAGGGCCTTTTTTGGCCCTGTGAATTTCTGAAAAATCGAAACTGCTCAGTTTTGGTCGAAAATGTAGTATTTATAACTTGGACCCATGGTGACCGTGTATCTATTAAACATGACGTAATTTTCTCTATAGTCAATGCATTATGACGTCATAAAATGCGTCATTTTTCACATATCCTGTAAATTCCCTAAAAATGGCCAAAAATTGAGGTATTTTTTTCAATATTTCGTATAGAGCACAACCTCTGATCCAAAATATGCAATTATATAATGAAAGATCTGTTTTCGAAGATCACAAAACATATTTTTAATTTTTGGATCGTGGGCTGTGCTCATATTTTAATTCTTTTCTGAAGGTAGTCAAATACGCAAGTTTTCTGCAAAATTCAAGAACATTGCATTTTCTGATTTCCAATACCTGGATTCTCAAGAAGAAATTTGGTAATAGGAAATGAAAGCACTAAGTCTCTACTTTATTTTGATGTATGAAATGGGACAGAGGGTGATAGTCAATTAATTGATATAAGGACATGGCCATTTTATGCATAAAGTGAACCTAGCTCTTTCAGTGCATTTGTTCATCAAATAGATTCATCGATATAAATAATGTGTGAAGGGAATTCAAGTTTGTTCAAATGAACGACCAGTCTCTATTTCAAGTGGAGAAAATTTGGAATAAGTGGAAATTTAATGGCATCTTTTAAAAATCTTCTCAATATTCATTGGGCTAGAAAAGATGAAAGGTGTGAAAACTTCATTGCATAGTGTAAATTCATTTTTTTATTTCAAATAATGACCACGGGGCAGGGGCGGAGGCCACAACAGGCGATTAAAGTTTTTCATGGAATATTGATGTTTTAATGTGATACCTTAATACAATACAATGAAGGAAACTAATTCTGTTTTTAAATTTTTTAATTTTTTTTCTTTCTTTTTTTGTTTTGTTTTCTTTCATTTTTTGTTTTGTATTTTTTTTCTTCTTTTAATTACTTCCAAAAATAAAAAGATGACTAATCTTGTTCTGAATTTGTTCAGAAATAATATGTGGTTGTGTTTTATTTTATGTTTTGGTGCTGTGAGACCATAACTATTGATAGTTTCGCTCAACAGAGTATTGAATTTCTTACTTCCAAGCAGCTACCGATGCTATTCCGGTCAGGGGTATGATGTCTACAGCCTTCCCACCAAAGGCACCACCTTCATGGTAGATTTAAAAAAAAAGATGAATATGAATTAATAATACAGTTTAGCAATTGCTCCTTTGAAATATTATTTCTTTTATGTATTTCAGAGTAAAAAATATAGACACCACCTTACCTATTCGCTTTACTTTTACATTTATTCTGTTACAAGGAATCAACAAAAACTGTCCAATCCATTTCTAAAAGAGAAACTGACTACTCTGATTAAATTGACCCGATATACAGGAATCTTTATGAACTCATGAATTATGAATTCAACTCTAGTTTGGAGATGACCGTCTCCTATATAATGATTTAAAAAAAAATGCATAGAAAGTCAAGTGTTTTAGGAAAGAAATACTAATTATACAGAAAACTGTGATAGCTGTTTTAAGAATTTAGCAAACTAAATAAGAACACATTATTTTTTCCTAACTGTAGCTTCAATTTTATTTTATTTTACTATTTTTCTGCATTTAATAGAGAGAAATTAAAATTAGTTAGAAATATCATATTCATTAAAAGATTTTAATGAAGTCCACATGCATGTATGTGCATCAAAACCTGTAATTCCCTATCAGAAATATAAACTGGTCTGTTACCTGTAGTCCAGACGGGTCTTGCGATCCCACAAATATATCCATCTCTTTATCCTCTTTTTTTGGACAAATCAGGGCTGAGCACGGTTCCATGTATAGGTGCTCCTGCGCACCAGTCTCTATAACGCCCTCTAGCGTCACTTCAGACTCAGTCATTCCTTGCTCGATGTTCCCTTGTTCCGTTGAGTTGGAGAACTCAAACAAACTGTTTTTCTCAATTGCATCCTAATGTAATATAAGTATTCAAATAAGCGTATGTATGCAGTTTTGTTCAATTTTAAAATCCATGATCCGAAGGCCGTGAGTTCCAATCTCGGTCGCGACTGACCTGAGTCGATAAAAAAATAAGTAGCAACTGTTCCTTCGCCAGGCGCTCGGCACTTTGAAGCGAAAGTTGCAGGTCCTTCGGATGAGACTTAAAAACCGAGGCCCCTTGTCACACAGGCGTTGGCACGATAAAGATCCCTCACTGCTCAATGGCCCTTAGTGCCGAGTAAAGGTCAAAATTTGAAGCCCTTCACTGGTATATGGTGACGTCTCTATATGAGTGAAAAATTCTCGAATGGGACGTAAAACAACATACAATCAATCAATCTTTAAATTCTTTGCTTTTACCGAGATCCCATCACGTGTAGATGAAGTTTTCAATTTATAAGATATTCGCTTTATTCAAAGGTAATTGATATTTGCGATCACATCCTAACATGCTCATAGAAATGTTATATGCAAATGTGTCTCTGTGTTTTGGGGTTACCACGACCTACTCTTAGAGGGCAAAATACGTTCGCTAAAAGATGAATTACCCTACTTTCCCTCGACAAATATTTGGATTATTTACTGGAGGATCTCATGCTCTTGCTTAAACACAAAATTATATGGAACATCTGGAATTCACTTAATTATGTATATCAATATAATTTGAAAATAGTCATTGACAGCTATTGGGGGTTGTGTAAAAAGGGCTCTTTAAGTTGTATCTTAATGACACGTTTTGATGACACTAGTCCTCATATGTATAATATATGACCCACCTACAAAAAGCTATCAAATATACGCACATGAATGGAAGGAAACAGCCATGCAATTAAATATATATATATATATATATATATATATATATATATATATATATATATATATATATATATATATATATATATATATATATATATATATATCAAGAAAAAATAAGTATAACCAAATACATGTATATCACTTAAGCTCCCATTAGTGATCTTTCTACTCAGTGGGGAAAGGTTTTAACACACACCTAATATTTCTCGGGGAAACACTTACTGCAGATGATTTTTAATTGACCAATCCTAGGGATACTTTGATTCAATATGAGGATTACTATATATTATTATTTTATTTTTATACCCATTAATGAATTGTAAAGATTTTTACACTTGGAACTGAGAATTCAACTCAGAATGGGTTATAACAGTGCTTTTTCATTGCTGCAATATTAATGTTTATGTACACTGCATTATTGTTGGATAGTTGGTAGAATTTTCCCTTTAAAAAGTAATGTAATCAGTTTAGCAAATTCATGTTTAATAACTACGATTAAAGATACAAAATTATAATTATAGTTCCTATCTGAACACTGTATAACTAACAATTCCAAGATGACTTTATTTAAAAAGGATCTTACGTCAATTGTAAACACGGCGGGTAAATTTTCGTATTCAACTTTCACTAATTTAGCTGCAGCTCTGGCTTCCTCCCTTGTTTTTGCTAAAATTCCTGCAATGGGTTGTCCAAAATGAGTCACCTACCAAACAAAAATTATATATTCATTACTGGAGAAGTCCATAATAAACACAACAAGGTAAGTAAATTATCAGTTTGGAAACAAAGTTTAAAGAATAAACACACGTTTCACATGCAAACGTTTTCTTCTCATGTTTGCAGCAAAAAGAAACAGTCTACAGGATACTTCTTATATGCAAATTTAACTTACTTCGTTATCAGCTAATAAAGGTGTTTCTGGTCCAGATTCTCCATAAAGCATTTCTCCGGGGACATCTCTGTAATCCACAAAGTCTTCTACACCAGGGGCTTCCAGCGCGGCAGAAAAATCGACGGAGAGAATTTTAGCATGAGCGCGGGAACTGGAGACTAGGGCTAACGACAATTCTTCTGTATGGAGAAAAAATATATATACAAAATTTCCTTCTTTATTTAATTCGTTTGTCATTAACAATTCTTTCAGACAATCTTTGTATATAATGTAACTGACATTAAGATCGATGCAAGAGCAAAATATAACTGTCTTTCAATACATGTACATGAACATGACAAAATGTGCTTTGAATCGTTTTCTTCGGTGCATTAAATTTTATGTGTAGAAAACTATTGCCTTCGTATGTTTTCTATATACAGAACTATTATTTAATGCATGAAATATGAAGATAACGAACAGTAATCAATCTCAAAAGTCCATTGGAACATGACAAATTGGGTGCAGAGCAAACACGGACCCCTAAAAACATCAGAGGTGGGATCAGGTGCCGTGGAGGAGTAAGAATAAAGATTCATTCGATTTGCATTAAAAAAATCCTTCAATACATTTTTTTTTATCTTGAAGTCAACCAGTAATAAGATTTTTAGTTTATAGTTATACTTTTATACTCTGGAATATCGTCCACATGTACTGCCTCTCCAGTGGTGATACTCACTTTTATACTCTGGAATATCGTCCACATATACTGCCTCTCCAGTGGTGATACTCACTTTTATACTCTGGAATATCGTCCACGTATACTGCCTCTCCAGTGGTGATACTCACTTTTATACTGTGGAATATCGTCCACGTATACTGCCTCTCCAGTGGTGATACTCACTTTTATACTCTGGAATATCGTCCACGTATACTGCCTCTCCAGTGGTGATACTCACTTTTATACTCTGGAATATCGTCCACATATACTGCCTCTCCAGTGGTGATACTCTTAGAGGACACATGGGGAACTGGCTGCCAGACGATGTGACTGTTGTCGTCTGTTGGTACGTCATAAAACTGTGCTCCTGATGAATGGACTGGGGTAAGGCCAAAAGTGTCTTCTTCTGATAACTTTATAATGAAATAAGAGTTAAAAATCATGACACAAGTAAGTATGAAGAAAACCCTGATTTTCTATGTACTGAATTGTCTAAAGTATTGAGATGTATTTGGAGGAAGAGAGGAGTGTTGTTAGTTTACCTACCTTCTGGCTTGAATGACCTTTATGGCATTTTTGGCCACAATTTGAAGTAAGTATACTTTTAATCAATAAATATGAAACTTTGATTTATCGCTGTGAATTCCTTGGAATCTTGATATTTGACCACAATTTGAAGTAAGTATACTTTTAATCAATAAATATGAAACTTTGATTTATCGCTATGAATTCCTTGGAACCTTGATATTTGACCACGATTTGTAGTAAGTATACTTTTAATCAATATATATGAAACTTTGATTTATCGCTGTGAATTCCTTAGAATCTTGATATATACTAAAATTTTACAATTAAGTTAAGACTATAGTTTGTATTTTTTTTTATAAAGCAAGCGTGCACGTCAATATCAATGTACCCTTTAATTCTTTCTTCATGTTTAAAACAACTAATAAGACTTCAAGATGCTCTCTCATTATCATATAATTATTTATTAAATGCCAAATCTTTTAAGAAATAATTATTATTATACATATATAAATAAGAATATATCATACGAATGAAATACAGCTTTACCTGTAGTAATTTGAACAACCTCTTGTAAAACTTAAAAAAGAAAGCACAGGCCAATGTGATTTTATACTTCAGTTGTTTAGCCCTCGAGTTTTTAAGTTCCTGAACAATGACGTCACCTATATCCTCCAGTAATTGCTCTGTGCAAGGGCTGCCAATTGAAAGTTTGTAATGTAATTTGAAATGAGATTTTAACAAAGCGTGAAAGATGAAAAAACGAGTTTTTGTTGGAAAATTGAAAGCGTACAAAATTACTTTCATATCACCCATGTTACCTTCCTATTGCTTTCTTTGTAACGTTTTCTAAATATCTTGGTTTGCTTTCTATATTTCCAACACAGAATCTCATGTCTTTAATCCCGCTAGACTGTTCCTCTATTTTTATGAATAGTCCTGCATTTACAACGGCGTAATCCATTCCCCTCCTAAACGGCTGCTTTCCGAAAAATATGAACTCATTCTGTGGAAAATATAAATTTTGATTTGAAAGTCATTTTAGCATACTACTACTAGTACTAGTATATTATATTTAGTATAGTGAATACTATACTTTGGCATTATCTGTATATATCACACATTCTTTATAATTTTATGTAGAAATTATAAATCACCTTTTGATTTCTGGGCAACCTCACTGATATTAAAATGGAACTCGGCGAGAAAGAATTTGGATCAAAACCCTCTGAGTACTTTATGGTATGAGGTGTCTTCTCCCCTACAAGTTGATTATTACCTTTCTTAAACAAACGAAAGTCCTTTTCCATGTTCAATATGATTCATTGAAAAATTTAGTTTAATGGTACATGTGTAATATATGACATGCCAAATGTACAAAAATGAGCTAAACATAACTTCCAGTTAATAAATTAAGTTCTATAGTTTACGAAGCAGAAACGACGTAATTCTACATTTAACATCTATTCACCTCAATTTATGTTTCGATCGTCACGGTAGCTCAGTCGGTAGAGCGCTCGCTCCGTGATCGGAAGGTCGTGTGTTCGAATTACGGCCGCGACTGACCTAAGTCGATAAAAAAAGGTAGCAACTGTTCCTTCGCCAAGCGCTCGGCACTCTGAAGTGAAAATTGCGGGTCCTCCGGATGAGACCTTAAAACCGAGGCCCCGTGTCACGGTAGGCGTTGGCACGATAAAGATCCCTCACTGCTCAATGGCCTGAGTGCCGAGTAAAGGTCTAAATTTGAAGCCCTTCACCTGTATATGGTAAAATCTCTATATGAGTAAAAAATTCTCGAATGGGGCGTTTAACAACATACAATCAATTAATTAATTTATATTTCACAAGAGGTAACTACACTGTACAGTGAAAATAATTATTTGAAAGTGCAAGCCATGACTTATCTGATAGATACAGTTTCAGAATTAGTAAACTATGGGTAACAATTCTAAACTATAGTTAATGAATCTGATAAATAAAGCTTCATGATTCCATATAGTGAAACAATGATTGACAACTCTTTCATTGTAATTAAGGCTAATGCATATTTATTATAGTTTACAAATGAAAATTTGTACATACATGTATATTTACCGACAAAAACTATCATTAACGTTAAAACGTGTGTTAGCATTCTTTTGATAGATTGCATATTTGTAAGTGTCTTTCTATACTTTACCAGCAGACTGAAAAGTTAGAATTGCTCCACAGGTCATCATTAATGTTTGAAGGTCATGTGGACCTGTAGACATTAAGTGGCCACCAATTGTCTACAAAATATCACAATGATAATTGTTTCTATTTGGCCACGCCAAGCTTGCAGATCTTTAAGGTCAGTGAAATAATATACTTACTATCAAATAAATTTAAATATCCTCGTATTTTAATTTTCTAGGTTCATTTGAAAAAAACATTAAACAATTTCAAGATAAGTTTTTGACAGACAAATTGCAATACGAAAGTAAGTCATATGCAAGTGGCATTAATTTGCAATTCTCCATGGTACATGGAACATCCACATATTGATTTTTTTGAAAAAAATATTTATAAATTTACTATCCAATGATTCTTACAGCAACATTTCTGACTTGGTCAGCTGCAATCCAACGAATTCCCTCAAGCAGAGCGTCAACTAAAGTGCCTCCCGCATCTGAAATGCATATATATATATATATATATATATATATATATATATATATATATATATATATATATATATATATATATATATATATATATTAAACTTAAAAACTTAAACTTCCAGAAGGGCAAGTTATTAACTAAATGGTTCTACATGTTCATGTTAGATGTTACAATAATCAAATCATTGGTTCCCTCTCGTCTACAATACTTGATGAAAATTGTAATGGACAAAATTATGGTATACATATACAGCATTACTCATTTAGGGAATTTCTAGTGAAATTCTTCGAAAAGGTAATAGAAAGAAATCTTCATTTTTTTAAAAGTAAAACTGGGTGATTATGTTACGTTAGTCGAGTTCGTCATAATGAGGGAATTTCAAATTATTCTCTATGAGCGATACTTTTTTATATAACTGAATTCATAAAAAATGTTTTACTATGTAACATAAGCAAAATGAATTCAGTTGTTCTGTTAAGTTGGCATAATGATATGTAAATGACATACACATTTTTTTCTTACCCTTCAATGTAAGAGACGAAAGAAATTGTTCCATTTCAGAGAAAGTAACAGCAGAGCCAAAGACAATCTCGTTCTCGTCTTGTTTCATCACCTTCAGCTCTAAGACTCCAGTACAACTCACCAGGTCTTTTGGTGTCTTATTATTTCTTATATTGGAGCCTGATTATTCCAGCAATTAGAAATTACGGGTATTGTTTTAATTCATGGCACAAAAATATTGACTGAAATATCAATGTCATTTGTCTTAAAAAACATATGTGAGGATATTAAATTATTTTAGGGCGCTCAGTTCGTAAAATTTGGTTAATAAAGTATTGATATCTCTAAACATGTTTCCTTCTTAAACTACAAATGACAATTCTCTACTTTAGAATTACACTCTTTTGTGTTTTTCTGAACATTTGCACAATATTTGTTTTACACTTGTTTAAATGATTAGGACAAGAAATTTAAAGCCATCAAACATTTAAACACGCCCTCTTGTAAATTTGAAATGTGAGTAGGCTTACCCAGAATGCTTTGAGCACCCATTACAACCACTGCCTCGGGATTATTTGCTTTAACACGAAAGAGGTCTGACAAAGAGGTGGGTCTATACCACGTGTATCCCCCTCCTGCAAACTTAACGGACGTCTGGCGGTAAGATGGATTGGTCTGAAAAAGTAATTAGTTTCATTAAGAATTTTTCTTAAATTAAAACAAAATTCTCAAAAAGCATTAAGAACGCTGTATTATTCTGCAGACAGAAAGTTTCCTTAATTTGATAAGATAAAACTTCTATGTGATATTTTTAATTTTATGTGTACCTGTAATTCGTTGGGAAATATCACTTCTTGACTTTCATGTTTATTCACATTATCAACGTCTTGATCCTAAAAGAAACATTTTTTTCAGGATATTCTTTTTTAACAAGTTGATAACATTCAATATTCATTAAGTCTGAAATACAGTACAATGCTTTCATCAATTCCTGAAACCATATACTATCTTTAAAGGAGCAATTCCCATTTTCCAAATATACATTTTTTTCCCTTTATATCTAAAACCCTCATCATTATTTAAGTATGTTTACAGTATTAAAGAACCAAAAATTTAAATTACAGTACATATCTGTAAAATTAATCAAATAGGGGACAAGACACCTAATACAACAATAGACACTACTATAAAGGATGCTATTAAATGGATATTGAGGTATTGAATAACTTCTCTTTCTATCATTTTTAATTTTACATCAAGCACTTTATAAAAATTCTTTTATTTTCAAAAAAATTATCAACAAATTGATCATTTAATTTGAAATTATTCCGAACAACGGGAAATTCCTTTAAAACAAGTGGTCACAGCAATTCTTATTTAATAAATCAGGAGAAGGTATAGATTTAACTTACTGCCATGTTCATTTCACCTTCGTCATTGTCCATATTCATGCAGCATGACTTTCCTTTCGGACAACTCTAAAAAGTTCAAAGTTTAAAAAAAATTAAACAATAAAAACATTTCACAGAAGTCAAGGAAGAGTCCACAGTGTGTGTTTTTTTTTAATTTCTCTCTGCTTCTAATACAGTTTAAGTAAAAGTGACCCTTCTTCTCAAAATATCAAAGTATGAATTTACAGATGACACTGAACATTCGGTGATTAACAGTCATGTTCATGTCAATTTTATTTATTTTATCTCTCTTTTCATGGTAAATAGCCATGGAAAACCCTGATACATAGAAATCAATTTTTGCTTGATATGAGTGTACGGTATCAAATACTTTTATCGAACAAATTTGAAGAAATTCTTTGACTATGCATTCCACGGTCCCTATATATAAGAGTCAAAATAATTACAGAGAATAGCTCTTGAAAATCTTTAAATTTTTTGGTATCAATTATTACTCATACAAGATTGTTAGCAGTGTGTAGGGAGGCAAATGTAGTAAATGCACACACAAATAATTTCGACATATGTTATTGAGTAAAACTTGTTTAACAAGTTTGTTTTTGAATAAAATATCCAAGACATATTCAACTTTCATTGAGAGGTATTCGTAACTGTTTTTCTTTTCCTTTCAGTAATATAGGACAATTTTTTAAAATATTTTAAAAAGCATTAAGTATACACTCAAATTGTCAGCAGCAGCGGTGAGCCCAATTCGATAGTCCAAGACTTACTGATTTAAAAGCCTCCAGAATAGGTCGATATCCTGTACATCGACATAAATTTCCTGAAAAAAAAAAAGAATTATACAAGTAGCTGACATCGGATATGATGATTCGTATTCGAATCCTATACTTGTTAAATAACTGAAATTGTACGTTCTTCAAAGCACACATAATATGTCCATTTCTGGTTTTATAAACACGTCTCGAGGAGCAGCTACCAAATTGATGCCCATTATCCCTACGTGAACTAAAATCTTTGTTGACATCGTCTTTTTATTAAAAATAAGAATTTTATCAATGTTACTAAAAAAATCCTTTTTTATTAACGTGTGCTGTGCCATAAAACATAATAAAAAATACCCAAGATTCCTTCTAATCACCTTCTAATGCTCTCTCAAAATCGTCCGCTTCCGGCCTGGTGTTATTTCTGAACATCGTATACATGGCCATCACCATCCCGGGTGTACAGAACCCACATTGCAGTCCGTAATACTTCAGTAAATTACTCTACATAAAAACAATGTTTGAGGGAATGTTATTTTCATAATCGCTTCCTATTCACTGAAATCAAAATAACTAGACAGAAAAATTACAATAAAGCATTAATAATATACTTTTGAACAGAGTTTCTCTTTCCTCTTGAAGTCTTCCATAAAGATTATTTATGTTTACCAAGCAGAATACAACCCATTATCTCAGTTTTATTCGAAAAATCTAAAATCCGCAAATAATTATTGTAAATGTATTATATTAAGCGTGTACGATATTTGACTGACATTGTTTTTTGAACTAGTTGGCGTAGATTTGACTTAGCATTTCTTTATGTTCTTATCTATAGATCTTTTGCATCAAAGTGGAATGGGTTCATTGGTCCTACCTGTACGGTATGAAGCCCATTCCTTGTGCTCCCCACACCTTCGACCGTGGTAATGGCTGTCCCATGAAGTGTGCACAGAAGGGTCAAACAGGCATTGCAGGAATAGTGACTCAAAAGTAAAGACTAACAAGAACTCAAATATTGAAGAGAAAATCCCAGACCTATTCCCTCAATTTTGACACCAATATGAAGTATTTTATGGAGACAAAAATATTCTTTGCAAACTTTGAGTTAACGTACAAAATTTCAATCAAAATAGATTTTTTAGAATTTATTTTTGAATGAATTGTTAAAAGGATACACGATTTTCCTCTGATGATGGTTGTAGTAGGAGACCATGACTGTACACGCCCCACATGCTCCCTGACTGCACGCCTCCTTCGTCCCCGTCAAATACACTTTTCCAAATGTCAAGAATATACTAATGCTCGCGAGATTTTTTAGAAAATATGAAGGTATTTGGAAATGGTTATATTCATAACATTTTGAAATTTTCATATGAAAATGAAAGGGACAGTTTTACCCTTGAAAACAAAAACAGGTGGTATTAATAAACGAATTAGTATTTCAACTTAATTGATATTTTGAATTGATATTTCTCATAAAGTTTAGTTGTTAGTTTGCCATTAATATCTTTCTCTAGTAAAATGTCCAAATATGAAACAGATGTGTCAGACTTAGTGGTGTCTTTTATTTCGAGTTCAAAAGAATATCTTTTATCAGCGTAAGAATAAAAATGAATATTGTTAATTGATAAAACGTCGTCGATATATCTGAATGTCGAATTGAAGGCCACAGCAAGAGATTTCTTAAATGTAGATCAATGTAGATAACTATAGTTTGCGTTTCACAAGTTAAAGTTTACAACCTATAAACCTATAAACAAATCAACTGTAAAAATATGTGTAATCACTCTTTGTAGATATAGTACTAGTACATAACATTGCGTAGTTGACAGTGAGAAGTCCCAGAGTATGATATGGGCTCTATAGATTTGATAATGCATGTATAAAGCATAGCTACAATGTCCTTACTGGCAATTCTATAAGTGCCCTGCCAGCTTAACCTCTCAAATTCTCTATAGAATATTGGCGTTTTTCAATTTATGACAATTAGAATGAATAAAAATATCTCATATTTTTGACATGGTCTCATGTAACGATGGCCTTGTATATATTATTATTTTATCTTAATTCAAAATACAATATACAACCTCCAGTTCTAATATTGTCGGTGTTTGATGAAAATGGTCATGTACACAGTTTATCTCCCCTGATAACCTGACTTATTCACCTTTAGGATACAAGTGCGCCTTAAGTATTGGATAAGAGTGATCCGTGGGTCCGGGTTATCAATAGACACCTTCAAAAGTAAACAGGTTCAACAATGCATTATATATGACAAGATATATAAGGTAGAAGATCTGTGAAATGGTTTTATAATAAACTTCACACTGCCAATTTTATAGCCTACTTTCTGTTGTCATCAATATGTATATAATTATATATTATTTCAAAAATTTTAAATATTGTTTAACGTTAAATAGATTGAATAAATAAAATTGAATAAATAAATATAATTATAAGTAAAAGTGTAGTTTTGTATAAGCGACAAATATAATAAGTAAAAGTGTAGTTTTGTATATGCGATAAATATACATGTAATTAGTAAAAGTGTAGTTTTGTATAATTATGTCAAAATGAAACAATGTATCGAATAAATCGAGAAACAGAATACGGTTTCAAAAAGTTAGGAATTCTCCCAAAGAAAAGTATTAATTCTTAGCTTTTGATTTATTTTAATCATTATTTAAAAAAAAACAACCTTTTTTTTAAAGTAAAACAGCCATTCTAAAAACACATGACCAATTAAGAATTTTTTATGTTGCTTACAAATTTGCTGTTGTAATATCTTAACTATAAATATAAACTAAAGGTCGATTTCAACTCTAAGACTTAACATTCACACATGGTTTTGTAAATATTTACCAATATATATGCAGTTAACGTTTTGATATGAACATAATGTAATGTTGAAAAACGAATTCCACTGCAAATCTTAATGTCGCTTCATTTATTTACAAATTTCAAGATGAAATTTTCAGTCGTAAAATCGTTCCAAATAGATTGCAATGAATGTTAAAAATGTCTTTTATCCTATATAAAAAGAAATCAAACCACTTCTCGCAAAGAATTGCATTGATCTCCTTTCATGCGAAATCATAAGCATGTCGCTTAAAATCGATTAACTTCCGTAACGATTTTGTTTTAAATTTCACGCACAGAATGTAGATTTCAAAAAGAGCTGAAACTTATCTGAAAGTGACCACGGAACCTTATATCATTGATTCTTGTTGCGAGTCAGCTATTTTAGACGATTACATTTTCGACATAACAAAATGAATTAGACAAAAACAGTTGTCTCTCTTAAAAATTTAACTTCCGTAACGGTAATTCTGGAAAGTTTTTGCATTATTTAAAGGTATAAAAAAAAAATTATTATTTTGGGAGCGAAATTCTTCATACTTTTGTTTAATATACTAAAACAAATTTTGATTTTAACTATTGAAGAGAATAACTTTTTTGCTGGGAATTAACTTCCGTAACAATTAACTTCCGTAACGATATTTTTCCCGAAAATTTAATTTAAATTCGGATTCATGCTAGACTTCACGAATAATACTTTAGCGTTCTTTACTGAACATCAGAAACGAAAAATTGGTCAAATTCAGATTTATTTAAAAAATAATAAGGCTTGATCAAGCATTAACTTCCGTAACATTACCTTAAAATCAATGGCATCTTGAAATTGTTGTAGGAAGTTAACGATACCAGATTTGTGGACAATTCTTTGTTTTCAAGTTTACTGATTTGTCCTTTAGAGAATTATGATGTTCGTTTTGCTTTTTGAAACAATTATTTTTTTCATGTTTTATACCCTGAATTGGTTCATTTATCGTAGAATGACTAAAAAGATTTCTAGTCTATTTGATATCGGAATACCTAAAAATTACTAAAATGGCGCCTCATACAACAAAATATGTAAGGTTTTGCCAAAGGTCAACATGTCCAAAAATTTATTTTTACAATAGCTCCAAAACTATTTGGTTTATAAAGTTAAAACTTTTACAGTTTATAAATATATCATTGATTAACAGACAGAAAGTATCACTTGATAACAAATAGTTAAAAAAAAAATTTATCGAGAAAAAGGCACCGTGTAATTCATGGACTGGAGGCAAGGAGTGGAGTTATGGAGTGGAGTTTGGAGTCAAATTTTGGAGTCTCATTTTTTTTTTTTTTTTTTATTGTTTTTTTTTGTTTTTTTTTTTTTTTTTGTTTAAAACATGAATGGAAAAAGATGTTCAGGAAATTGCATTATTATGAAAGTCTTCAATTCTTTTCTGGACATTTGTTTGCTGTTTCTTGTCTTGTACTAAACAGATTGACAATTCATAGGTACTATGACTTAATTAAAATTTGTAAGTTTCTGAAACATAAGTAAGTAAGTACTTAAGAAAGTATTTGTAACTTTAGAAAATTACATCAGTATTGAATAGACAGACATGATAATGAAAAGATAACCCCTGTTCTTTAAAAATATTTGGAAACTGTTGAATATAATTAATCAACAGATATAGTCGGTCTTACTGACTGTTTTAATACAGTTTAATTTGACGTGTTAACAAACCTGAGCTACTAGATTCTGTGTTTAAAGCAATTTATAAGTGTCAGTATATACACCCACTTATTCATTACCTTCCATGTTAAATAAAAAAAAAAAAGAAATTATAATCAGTTTTAAAATAAGTTTCACACTTTATACCACTATTATATGGTGTACTAAAAGGTTCACTCACTCCCTTACTTCAGCGACATAGCAATTATCATACTAATATCTCTCCCTTTTCCTTGGGTTGTCACTCCCTCACCCTCAAAAACAACAAATCAACTATGGGTCATATCACACTTCAAGTGAAAGCAATGTGTTAATTGTTTTTACTAAGTTTATCTTTATTAAACATTGAATAAATTTTCAGTTTTCTAATTGATAGTGAAAGCTATGTAAGACTACACTGGCTCATACAGAAAAGCCAGAATCCTCACACCCAATTTTGGAGTATGTGATCTAGTGTTGAATCAACTTGAACAGCATGCATACATTAAAATTATCGCATTCTTTACTAATTTATATAAATATTATCATCCCTTAACTAGCATTACAGTGCATTCCTTCCCATTAACTTCTAAATTGATAAAAATTGTGAGTCACCAGTGTATTGTATTCATATTACAGTATCATAATATTATTTAATTATTTAAGTAAATGTATGTCAATTACTGATAATCTTTTTTTTTAATTCACATTTAAAGATACAAAATAGATGGTTTCAAATCTACAGTAAATTATATAGAGAGAAAAATCATCAATCTTATTCTACAAACAATCTTGTAACAATATATTAACCTACATTGTTCAGCTGTGTGGTCAAAAACCTATCAAAGTTTTAGCAGACATAACAAAGATGTGACAGAAAGCTAAAATTTAGTTCAAAGGGTTTTATCACCTTCCAATTATGTGTTGAAAGCTATGGTGATCATTATTTATGTAACAGTTAAATTTGATTAAAACATAAAATAAACTGTCACTGTTTTAGATAACACACTTTTTGACAATGATAGTGAAATTAATTCCCACGACCTTATCTGAAAGAATTTGCGGGAATTTGATGCAGCCACTGTATGTCCCACATAATCTGTCAAGAGTTATTTATACAAGAGCATGCAGGCAGTGTTAGGCAATTATAACAGACCCATTTATTCACATCAGTATTCTATTCATTGAACTTAAGTACAATAATTATGGGCAATTCATTTTCGAAGAGTTGGAGCAGAAGATTGATCTGTCTAAATAAAATTTAACATTAATATAATATCAATCCTGAGATTTAGGTAATAGATAATGTGATCTTCGACTGACTTGTTCTAACCATCAGTATCTTAAATGAATATTTGTTATCATCTCAAATCCTAGAACATAAGCTTTCAAATATGACTGATACAATGTCTTTCATAAGTATAAATTTGGTTGTGAAAAAACTCTAATAAATATTACGAAGAAATTTGATAAATGATTATTATGAAAAATCGTCAAAATTGATATTTTTTTAATAATTCAAATAAACATTTAAAAAAGCATACCACTAGTCTACTTCATAATATTTTTATGTCCCGCCATGAATATGGCTGGGGCATATTGAGTTTGTCATGTCTGTCTTCCGTCCTTCTTTCCTTCCATCAAGCTTTGGATTTAGCTCAGTTCAAAGCTCAGTTTCAAAGATATTTTTCAAGATAATTTTTATAAAGCTTCATATGTTGATCGGTATTGGTGAGAGCTTTTCAATTCTGTAAACATTTTATGACTTTGACCTTTCCTTTGACCTTGACCTACTTTTCTTAAATTAGTGTTTAGCACAGTTTTAAGGAAATCATTCAGGATAGTGTAATCAAACTTCATACGCTGATACATACTGATGTTAACATTTTTTTTACCTTGACCTTTCTTTTGACCTTGACCTCACTTTTCTTATAAATAATGTTCAGCTCAATTTTAAAATAAAGAATTCAAGATATTTTCATCAAACTTCACATGCTAAAACATACTGATGAGAGCTATCAACTGCATCAACATTTTTTTCACCTTGACCTCACTTTTCTTAAATCAGTGTTCACCTCAGTTTTAAATAAACCATTCAAGATATGTTTATCAAAATTAATATGCTGATACCTATTAGTGAGGGACATTCAACTGCATGAAATCTTTTAACCTTAGGCTTTCCTGTGATCTTGACCTCAATTTTCTTTAATTTGCATTTTGCTTAGTTTAAAAAAACATTTAAGGTATTTTTATGTAAGCTTATGCACTTATACATAATTTGGTGAAAATTTATCATCTATATCCAATATTTTTAGATTTCAATTTCAATTTTAAAGAAACTTTTCAAGACATTTGCTTCAAACTTCATACACTAATACAAATTTTCATGTTGCATTACTAATATACACTGGACGGGGCATTCATGTCCTATGAAAATATTTCTAGTTTTAAATTACAGAAATATAAACTTAAATGTTCATCTACACTTTTCCAAGGAACGCACGCATCACTTTTAATAGCAACATGGGAATATAATAAAACTAAAGAGTTGTCACCTGAAGAATTTTGTATCTTTATTCTTCATCAGTAAGACAAATTAAATCTGATATTTATACCAAGATTGATCAATGTAAAGCTCACATTCAGCAACTCGTTTTGGAGGTATTGCAAGAAAGAATATATTTGCTTAAACAATCGGAAAACTTCAGGCCAAAGGAGCAGAAAAATATATTAAAATGGATTACGGAGTATCAAACAGGCATGAATGACACCATCTAAAAAAGTAGCAAGAAACATTATTTGTCTGTTTTTGAGCAGATTTTAAGGTGATTCAACAAGATACCCGTAACCTAATTTTAGTAACAGGAGTTATGTTAAACGTTGCAATAGCTGGTGCTTTATAGCAACATGAGAATATAATAAGACTAGAGAGTTGTCACCTGAAGAATTTTGTTCTAAATAGCAAAAATCAAATTAAAAAAATCAGACTCCAAAATTTGACTCCAAACTCCACTCCATAACTCCACTCCATGCCTCCAGTCCATGAATTACACGGTGCCCGAGAAAAATTCCTTTTAAAAAATGCAGATATTTTCTAAAAAATACACCTAATTAATTCCGTACTTTTAGTGAAAGCCATCATTGCAGACAAAATATATGCTTATCAATGAAGGGCAAGTTGGACTTCGATAGCCTCTGGAAAGTTGTTTTCCCTGTTTATTTTGTCCAAATGTGAAGATTTGAAACCGAAAGTACATTGCAAATTGCGGATTTTATAGGGGTCTTCTCTTTATACATGTCATGCTTTCAATAACAGCCTTTCAGAGACCATTCACGTCCAACTTGCCCTTCATTGATAAACATATATTATTTCTGCAATGATGGTTTTCACTAAAGGTACAGAATTAAGCAGGTGCATTTTTTTTTTTAAAAATATGCAAATTTTTTGAAATTTTTTCTCAAAAAATATATATTTTTTAAAATATTTGTTTTCAAGTGATACTTTCTATCTGTTAATCAATAATATATTTATAAACTGTAAAAGTTTTAACCTCATATCTCACATAGTTTTGGAGCTATTGTTAAAATAATTTTTTGGACATGTTGACCTTTGACAAAACCTTAACTAAAGATTAACATCTACAATGACTAGTTATTAAATAAATAACCAATATAATATGTAACATATGTATCTAACCCATTGCATATACTTGTTATTTGCATGTGTATGTTCAGTTGAGAAAACTATGCAAAAAAGAATTATTTGTAAGTTCAACATGAACTTAAACAGATGATGTAACAGAAAAATCTAAAATCCAATAATAAACATTGGTGGATAACGGAATATTGGATTACCTTCTTCCCGTTCACAAAGAAGACTAAAGCAGACGGCTCCTCCATTCTGCATTCCTGTACTACCGGTCTAAATATGTTACGACGAATTTATCGATATGTATACCACTGAGATGCAACGACCAAGTAGGGACAAAATCTATGGTGTGCAGTTCTTGAAAATTATTTATTTTTATTTGATTTGTGTGCAGTCGGTAGCAATATGATTTGGTTTGTTGACTGAATTCTTGATGCTGAACAATGTAATAACAATTTTTTTTGTTTTGATCTGTCCATGTTGTTTGTTAACTTTTCACTTAAAAATTGAGACAAGTTCAAAACCACTAGACTGTAATTTAATACTTAATTTAAGACTTTAACTTTTCAATCGTCAACTTCCCTTACTAATGCAGCAATATACCTTCATCACCTGCATACGGGGTTCATATCTCTCAGTTGATTCGATACGCAAGAGCATGCTCGACGTATGAACAAATTCCAAAATGAGGTAAGTTACCGACAAACAAGTTGATGAAACAAGAATTTCATCATCTCGTTTAAAGTCGTTATATCGTAAGTTCTATGATCGATACAATGACCTTTTCAGCAAATACAATTTGTCATTAAGTTAAATGCTGACTTACGTTTTTCATACTAATTGTTAGGCCATTATTTACACACTGAATTGTCGACGGATTTTCCCGTTATTTCCCGATCATGACAAGGAGCACATGGCAGGTGTGACCGGTCAGCAGGGGATGTTCACTCCTCCATGGCACCTTATCCCATCTCTGTTGTTTTAGAGGTCCGTGTATGCTCTGCTCCAAAATTTGTATTGTTTAATGGACTTTTGAGCTTGAATACTTTTTGTTATCTCTATACATTTCATACATAAATTGTGTAAAGTACTTAGCTAAAGCATTTCGCATGCAGGACACAGTGCCCACCCGCAATTATTTGATAAGACAGTGATTTCATTAAGGACTCCTCTCGTACTAATAAACACAGGCTCAGAAATAAGAAAAATACTTAAGTGTAACTAAAACAATACATATAATGCCTCAATGAGTAAAAAGTTATGAGTTAAAAATATACCACCTCGTTTAGTGTGACTTAAAAATATACCACCTCGTTTAGTGTAACTTAAAAATATACCACCTCGTTTAGTGTAACTTAAACAAATAATACCACACTAAGTGTAACTTACAAAAAAACCCACAGAATCATAAATAAGAAAAATACTGCCTCATTTACTGTAATTAAAAATATACCACCTCGTTTAGCGTAACCTAAAAAAAAAAATACTGCCACACTAATGTAACTTAAAAAAATAAGCAAGAATCAGAAATAAGAAAAATACTGCCTCATTTAGTGTAACTTTAAAAAACTGTCATATTTAGTGTAACTGAAGAAAAACGTTAACTGCGAAGGCTAACTCTCGATTTCTGCTTACATTTTACACAATATTCAACATGTTTGGCAAATTTGCTATTAGATTTGTTTTTGATAACCAACTCTAAAACCAATCTGAATTAATTAATTAATACCCTTAAAAATAACTCTTTTGGATAAGGGGTGTAAAATCCTGTTCACCGAAATCAGACTTAATTATACCTGACAGGATTTTAGAATACGTGTGGATATGGATAAATGACCATTTAATCTTTCACTATGTCAAACTAATGAAATATGGAGATAACGAACAGTATTCAAGCTCATAGTCCATTTAAACAATACAAATCAGGAGTAGAGCAAACACGGACCTCAAAAAACATCAGAAGCGGGATCAGATGCCATGGAGTATTAAGCATCCCCTGTCGACCGGTCACATCCGCCGTATGCTCCTTGTTGATCGGCTAAACGGAAAAATCCGTAGACAATTCAGTGTGTAAATAATGGCCTAACGATATCTTCATCAAGTTCAAGTTTTTTTTATTTCTTTGTGTCATACGACACATCAGAGTACATAGTAATAACTTAACATATAAAACAGTATAATAAGGTATTACAAAATGAGAATGAGCATAATAAATAAATAGCAAGTATATAGGACGTGTTATAACAGGTAATTGTAATTATGAAACACTTCAAAATTACAAATGATCTCCCAGTTGATTCGATACGCAAGAGCATGCTCTACTTATGTACAATTTCTTAAACGAGGTAAATTATTGACAAATAAGTTGATGAAACAAGAATATCAGCTGTCTCGTTTAAAGTCATCAGTTCGTAAGTTCTATGGTCGATACAATGACCTTGTCAGCAAATACAATTTATCATTAAGTCAAATGCTGACTTACGTTATTCATACTAATTGTTAGGCCATTATTTACACACTGAATTGTCGACGGATTTTTTAGTTATTTCCCGATTATGACAAGGAGCACACGGCGGGTGTGACCGGTCGGCAGGGGATGCTCACTCCTCCATGGCACCTGATCCCATCTCTGATGTTTAGAGGTCCGTGTTTGCTCTGCTCCTATTTTGTATTGTTTAATGGACTTTTGAGCTTGAATACTGTTCGTTATCTCCATATATTTCATTTATTCTTCTAATGGAGGGTTGATATAAATATTTTCCATTTCTAAACATTGGCTTAACTTATAATAGTACTTTTTCAAATACTTCAATCAAAGGTCATGACAATCATTAATTAACATATCTACCAGTTTCAACATTTAGATTATGAGCAGAAAACCTAATTCTAGCAACCTGTATTTTGTACAAATAATAAACAGGTTTAGGAAAGTTATTTTGTACATCAAAAGTATCAACCAAATGTTGGAAAAACGGACGTCGAACATTGTAACGGATATTAGAAAGCATGATATGTTTATTCACCTCAAGGAATCTTTGTTTGAATAACATATAAGTATTTACATTGAAATCTGCATTCAATACATAGCTAAGTCCCAGTTTATTAATTTCATCTTGTATGTCTCTGATCCAACTATCATTTCTCTTCAATCTTTCTTCCAAGCATGATTTCAGTAGAATATTTTCTGTCCCCTATAATTAAAAAAAAATTAATAAGTTTCAATTTTCTAGATTCCCTCATAGGCATTCTTCCAAGTTCAAAATACACAAGACTGTTTAAAGCACTTTTTTTTTAATACAAGAAGTAATTTTTTTTTTACAAAAGAGACTGTATTTTTCCTACATTCGGAGCTTTAAAAGATCCCCTCTGTAAGCCAACAAGACAGTCTTTTCAAAGAGATTAATGGACTAAGAGTTGTGAGTCGTACAGCTGATCGTATAGTGGCTCTCTCTTAGAACGTCGCTCGGAAGAGCCCCGCTCAGAAGAATGCTCAGAAGAATGCGTTTGGTAAAGTTTGAATGTCATTTTTATAATGTACAATACATAATACTCATTTACAAATGGGACAAACAAGTCGGATTTAAGTTAACAAGATATGCAATAAATTGTGACAAAACCCTGGTAATTCATAAAAATAATGGAGGATATTCAATGTTTAGTAGTAGGATATGGACCTTATTTCACGAGTGGGATAGGATTTTTTTTATATTAAAAAAAAATATGTTTCACGAGTGAAATAAATTCCATGTCCAACTACTAATTATTGAATTTTCTGTTTATTACATTTTCTTTGATTTTTCCCTTGCCTTTGTCTTTTCGTAACATAGTGTCATAGGCTGTGACGTCATAGCTTAGTAATTGTGAGACTGAAAACATTGATACATGGATTTTAGAAACATATTTGGGAAGAAACTGGGAGTTTTATTCTGTATCAAGACTTAGTTCACAATCTCTATATTTTGACAGGCCAGAAACATTTTTTTACTTACTTTGATATCTTTCACATTGGGAGAGAATATCACTTTGGTATCCTTTCACACTGTGAGAGAGTATCACTTTTATTCAATAAATAAATAGAGGATATTCAATGTTTTGTAGATGAATATGGAATTTATTTCACGAGTGGGACAGGATTTTTTGATATTTTCACGAGTGCGAAGCACGAGTGAAAATATAAAAAAAATCCTGTCTCACGAGTGAAATAAATTCCATATTCATCTACAAAACATTGAATTTTCTGTTTATTACATTTTCATTGATTTTCTCTTTGCCCCTGTCTTTTCCTAACACAGTATCATAAGCTTGACGTCATAGTTGAGCGGTTGAGACGTCATAGCTTAGCAGTTGTGAGATTGAAAACATTACATAGCATTGATTTAAGCAACATATTTGGGAAGAAATTTGCAGTTTTAGCTCTATCAAGATGGTTGGTTACTATCTCTATCTTATGACAGGTCAGAAATTATTTTTTTTACTTACTTTGATATCCTTTCACACTGTGACAGAATATCATTTTGGTATCCTTTCACACTGTGAGAGAATATCACTTTTATTCAATAAATAAATCACAGTATTTCACTGTTGAAAATGTAATAAATCACAGTATTTCACTATTGAAAATGTAATAAATTGTAATTTAAACAACTTTTTCAAAGCTGCAGTTCAGCGTCCTAGTATTGTGCACAAGCTAATTTTATTTTAAGATAATTTGTAGCAATGTTCAGTTCCTGTATCCTGACCCAAACCAGGTTATACTCGAATAATTTGGCCAAGTATTAGAGTCATTCCTTATAATTTAATTTTAAAATCATTAAATAACTATGGGTGTAAAATTTCGTTGCTTTTTATTAGTTCAAATTTGCCGCTCAATAATACAACCGTGGTACATGTAACGGAAGTGATGGGAAGCGAAGGGAGGTAAAAACTGATACATAGGTCTAGCAGCCTTGCTGTGTGTTTACATGTGGTAAGATCGAATTATTGTTTGAAGTTAAAGGTACATTTATTAAATCTGGAATTTTCCATGAATCCCGAGGACTGGAAATGAGAGGACTGTATGGATACAGTTGATTTAGCTGGTTGTCAGGGGGGGGGGGGGGGGGGTCCCCATACCAAACCAGGTTATACAGAAATAATTTGTGTTCCTTTTTGGATATTAACCAATCAGAGTCTAAAATACAAACAAAATTAAATTATATAGAGTTACGACAGGGATAAAAATGTGTTTTGAATCACACTATTGCCAGATATTCTCGTAAGATGCAAGCTGTTTCATATTATAACTTACGTTTTTCATGTAATGGATACACTCCCAGAAATTTGGTAGATGACAG